AACGGTAGGATACAGGGTAACTGTTCTTGACTTGCTACTATGTCTGTCAACGGTAGGATATTGAGTAACTGTTCTTGACTTGCTACTATGTCTGTCAACGGTAGGATATTGAGTAACTGTTCTTGACTTGCTACTATGTCTGTCAACGGTAGGATACAGGGTAACTGTTCTTGACTTGCCACGATGTCTGTCAACGGTAGGATATTGAGTAACTGTTCTTGACTTGCCACGATGTCTGTCAACGGTAGGATATTGAGTAACTGTTCTTGACTTGCTACTATGTCTGTCAACGGTAGGATATTGAGTAACTGTTCTTGACTTGCTACTATGTCTGTCAACGGTAGGATACAGGGTAACTGTTCTTGACTTGCCAAGATGTCTGTCAACGGTAGGATATTGGGTAACTGTTCTTGACTTGCTACTATGTCTGTCAACGGTAGGATATTGGGTAACTGTTCTTGACTTGCTACTATGTCTGTCAACGGTAGGATATTGGGTGCCTATTCTTGACTTGCCACTATGTCTGTGAACAGTAGTATACTGGTTAATTATTCTTGACTTTCCACTATGTTTATGAATGGTAGGATACTAGATAACTATTCTTGACTTGCCACTAAGTTTATGAATGGTAGGATACTGGATAACTATTCTTGACTATTGTCTTAGTACATGAACAATTTTTAAGAATGTAAAAAATCTTCTGCCACGTCATTCCAGAAATACAAATAAAATGAGCTCCAGTTATCGTGGTCGTGGAGGCAGAGGAAGGGACAGACACTGGCAGCATGATAGCCAAGGTCATGGCTCTCATCATTCATTGGAAGGTAAGTAAAGACCTTGCCAGGTTGGATTGGAAGATGCAGCAGATATTCTTCTTCTCTTCTTCATCCCTGAATAAACCAAGAAATCCTATCCATGCCATCTTGTACAGCTCGCTTCATGTAAACCTCATCTTATTCACTTCTGACTGCTTATTTTCTCCACGAACTGTGTACGAAAGCACAAATGTATTGTCAGGCTCTTTTCTTTTATTTCACCCCGTCCCAGGGATTCTGAGATTTCTTTTTTGGAGTTCCCTCAAAAGTCCAGTAGTATATAGTGTTAGGGTGTGAAATGAACAATGACTAACCTATCTCCGCCAACACTACCTCCCTCTTGTAATATTGGACTATTCTGGAAACTTCTCTTAAAATTTCGGGGTCCCTGGGAAGGGGCTAGATAAAAGAAAAGAACCAGTCATCACTGTGGGGAGTGACCAGGGAATCTGGCTGACAGCCAGCACAGTGGTGTTAGGTAAGAAGAAAATATATTCAGACTTCTACTTGTATCATTCAAATTGGAACTCTGTGCTGGCTGCTGAAGTTGAGGACAGAGTGCTTATAGGAATCACCTGAATGCTATGACGACGTTGATTCTTAATTCAAATCTCTTCTCTTGAGCTACTGTTTATTGTTCTCCATTTATTTCTTTAATTTATTCCTCCTGTACGTTTTGGAGCCAGTTATATTCTTATCAGGTTTTTCTATGTGTGTCTCTCTCCAGTACCATCATTTGTTTCTCACCTCTAAATTGACTAAATTTTTCTTGGCTTTGTATGAGTAATTTTGGTAATCTTAGTTTCAGCTTCATAGCAAACAGATCATCCCATAGGTGCTCAGTTTCCTGTGCCAGTGAAAGACACACAGAATGTCCATCACTGTCATTTGTGGAAAAATGGACACAGACTGCAGTCCAGGCAAATCCACAGTTAAAAAATATTCCAAAGGAAGTTTGCAGCTCACAGTGTCATGCATTTAACTCAGTAGCTGGGTGACAAAACTATATCTTTTCAGTATACAATTGGAAAAAAATGCAACAGCCACTGTCTGTCAGAAGCAGACAATTTTCTATGACTAAAAAGAGTGACCTTGCCATCATCCATTTTGACAGGCTGTATTTTAACCAAGATTACTAAACCTGTCTGAGTGATTCTGTCCAGGTAATGATTACTAACAGTTTCTTTTTTCTTGATGGCTGTCAGCATCAGGATACAGAAAGAGTTCTGGAACCAGCTCCCAAATGTGGTTCACGCACCATGCTGTATTTTGTTTTAGTTACTCTTTACCAAAAGGCAAAAAATTGAATCATTACCTGGGTCAGAGTGTGGGGTAAATGGCTCAACCACTTTACCACATTGGGGTCTGTCTACCACCTTATGTGACTTGTTACTTTTATTGACATTCTAGCTCATTGGTTTGACCCATTCATGCTCCATCCTCCAATGCAGCAGCCATTTTAATGTCTGCATGTTCAGTGTACCCAGTAGGAATTAACTGGTTATCTTCTGTCTTTGCCCTGCAGCCGGTTTTTGCATGATTGTTTTCATTGAATACCCATTTCCAACAGGCAGTTTATCATCTCTGACTCCCCTGTCTCTTCTTCTCTGGAACGCAGATGTGATCTGTATGTCTGCCCCTTCCAGTTTTCTTCCTCCACTAACTACTGCAGACACAGCCAGCCTGTCGGCTCTTTCATTTCCTTTTATTCACCCTTTTAGCATCCTTTGGATATTTTCTCCAGGTTATGCCTGTGTGTTGGGAAATAAGCAGGCAGATAGACTGACCAGCTCTGCACCACTTGGCGGTGAATTGATGTGTGACAAGTTAGATATTATAAGTGCCCTTTGGTAATGAGGGAACAGTGTGGAAGCGCAGATAGATTAATGCAGTCTGAGGAGAATGGCACTGCGAGGAGTTACCAGGGAATATAGCAATATGGCCGACATTCAACACACAGGGGAAGAGTGTATATACAAGTGGATATCTAATCAAATGGTTACTGGTGCCTTCAGAATTGGAACTCTTCGATTGCTACTGAGGATGGGGACGGAGCACTTATGGGAGTGCCATGAGTGCTGTGATGTCAAATTCTTATTTCAAAATTCTACATTTGACATCCCAGTATGTACAGCCAAGATAGTTTCTTGAGGCGGTACTTTTGGATGCTGTCAACCAATTCTAGTTAAAGTTTGTCAGTTTGTATCTTCTTAATCATGCTCGTTGAGTCTGTCACTATCAGCGTGGGAGTTGCTTTCTGTTTTGCCAACCATGCAAGTGCCCCTGTGACAGCTGCTGTCTCCATCATCATCATGCTAGAAAGTGTTGAGCTGAATGCCTGACTTTCTTCTTCCTTTACTGTTCTCCCATTCTTCCTGTGTGGGTTCCATGGCCCTGTTGTGGGGGTGGGGAGGGGGGGGGTGGGGGGGGGGAACAGGAATAGACCCACTGCCTGCCCAAATGCATGTCATAAGAGTAGACTAATTGAGAGCTTCCTTCAAAGTCAGAGTACATCTGCCTTAGGGGCAGGGAACCAACAGTCTGCATGCAAATGAGTCAGACCTGTGAAACCGTTGTACACGCAACACTCAGGTTCTGGAACAGGACTGGAGTCCAGAAGTGGATGAACAACCAGAACTTTCTTCTAGAGTTGGCAGCAGGTGAACGCCAAGAAGACGAAGAAGTTTCCCATTCGCCTATACTGTGTATGCCCACCCAGACCACCGCCAGTGAATCACTGAACCATCTGTATGGATGATGGCATCACCTGGTCGAATGTACTTTTGGACGAGGGTTCTTATTTCAGCATCAGTAGCTGTTTAACACCATTCTCTGCAGTATCAGTGGCTGTTTAACACCATTCTCTGCAGTATCAGTAGCTGTTTAACACCATTCTCTGTAGTATCAGTGGCTGTTTAACATTATTCTCTGCAGTATCAGTAACTGTTTAACACCATTCTCTGCAGTATCAGTAGCTGTTTAACACCATTCTCTGCAGTATCAGTGGCTGTTTAACACCATTCTCTGCAGTATCAGTAGCTGTTTAACACCATTCTCTGTAGTATCAGTAGCTGTTTAACATTATTCTCTGCAGTATCAGTAACTGTTTAACACCATTCTCTGCAGTATCAGTAGCTGTTTAACACCATTCTCTGCAGTATCAGTAGCTGTTTAACACCATTCTCTGCAGTATCAGTAGCTGTTTAACACCATTCTCTGCAGTATCAGTAGCTGTTTAACACCATTCTCTGCAGTATCAGTAGCTGTTAAACACCATTCTCTGCAGTATCAGTAGCTGTTTAACACCATTCTCTGCAGTATCAGTAGCTGTTTAACACCATTCTCTGCAGTATCAGTAGCTGTTTAACACCATTCTCTGCAGTATCAGTAGCTGTTTAACACCATTCTCTGCAGTATCAGTAGCTGTTTAACACCATTCTCTGTAGTCTCAGTAGCTGTTTAACACCATTCTCTGCAGTATCAGTAGCTGTTTAACACCATTCTCTGTAGTATCAGTAGCTGTTTAACACCATTCTCTGCTGTATCAGTAGCTGTTTAACACCATTCTCTGCAGTATCTGCCCAGGGTAATTATTACCTTAATGTGCTCATGCTTTTTTCTTCTGTTTCCATCCCTTCAGCACAGTGCCTATGTTCCAGTGGGCACATTTGGCCAATAGTGTCCCCTGCTTCCTTGATCCAGGACCACCCCCTCTTTAGGCGTTTACTTACCTTTGTTCACCTATAGGTGACTGTGCAGAGTATGTTTTCTGTCAGACTGTGTAACATTATTTAATAATATATGAACACATTATATTTAACACTATATGCAACACATCTAACACTTTGTGCACTGTATTTAACACTATGGAGCATTTCTAATGCTTATCGATCATATTTAAGACTTTATTAAATCATATTATCATTTTATCCATCATATTTAACACTATGTTTAACACTTTTTGTTACATATTAAACACATCATGCATCGTGTTTAACACAATGTGCGATATATTTAACACTTTTTTGCATCATTTTAAAAACTTTAGCATCCTATTTAACACTTGATGTAACATAGTATATTTAACACTATAGCATAGTTAACACAATGTGCAACATATTTAACACTATATATAATATTATATATCACATCTTTTTTGTATTGGAAGGGAACAGCGAGGAACAGAGCCCTTCAAGCCGAGGAAGACACCCTCCAGGTCTTCGGGGAAAAGAGATCGGATTGTGGTATGCCAGAAGAGGAAGAGTCCGTAGGGAACAAGAACAGAGATCAAATGTAAGGATGTTGTTAAATGAAGTCTTTATTATCTACTTAGTATCATCATCATCATTACTGACATTGCATGTTGTTGTTGTTGTTGTTTTAAAAATTTGGGTTATCCCTTTGGGAACAAGCAACAGAATCAGTAGAAAAACAAGATTATTATGGCCTGGAGAGGATAAGGCACCTGGGTGTAACCAGAGGGTCTTTCCGGCTCACTACACTCAGAGGAAAGGCAAAACAGACAAATAACCAGATTGTTACCGGTACAATTGGTTTTGGAACTCTGGGCTGGCTGCTGAAGATGAGGACGGAGCACACATGGGAATGCTCCTAATGCTGTGATGTCAATTCTTGACTCAACTCAACTCTGTTTTAGCATTATTGAGAATAAAATGCCGTCTGATCTGTCACACATTCGCTGACACTTTAAAGATGCGCAGTCCAGTACTAAACAAAATAAACAAACAATCCAATATAATATGAACAATATAGCATGAAGTAAAATATTTGAGTATAAAGTTGAACAAACAGTGTTTAGATAAACAATCTTTTTCTTCTTCTTCAGAGTTCCGAGCCCTTGAGGTTCATTGAAGCAGATATTACCCGCCTCAACTTATATGTCTGGTTGGCCTTTTCTTTCCAGTTGGTAACACCAAGTGTTTGCAGATAGAAATATATTCCAGTTTACAACTGAGCTACCCAGTCTAAAGAAAAACAGTGCATCATAAAGAGTAACATTTTGGTACCTCTTTTAAAAAAATGTTTACACTCATAAACACATTGACAGACAGATATGTAAACAAACATCAATAGACACCTACAACTCAAGAAAGTTGTATACCCCCATCTCCCCCAACCACCCTTTTCTCTCTCATTAATCTATAACTATATTTTTCTTTCAGCGACCGACTGTCACTATTGACCATGTAAGAGAGAGAAACCTTCGCCATCTTCTCCACAATTTACAGGATGGTGAGACCAGCCACTACCTACCTCCCGGACGAATGCCGCAACCAGCCAGAAGCAGCACCTATACAGGTATGCAGATGATGCTTTCTTGTGCTCTTGATAACAGTTCAGTGTTGTTTAAATCAACAGTCTTTGGCATTCCAAAAAACACTTAGTTTTCACCAACATCAGACCAGCCAGTTGGCAAAATATCTACCAGACCCCACCAGCCCGACCAGTCAGGCATGTTGAATAGCAGAAGTCAGACAACACAAATCAAAATCCAACGAAATGATAACCTGATGCGTCACCAGAAATATATAACCATAACGGGTGGGGAGCAGCTCTCCCCAGTCCAAGGTTAACCGTGGTGTAGTCATTGTTAATCAGTCAGTTATTCTATTAATTGTTTGTCTGTGCGTGTGTGTGTTTGTGTCCCTCCCTTCCTCATCCCCCTTCCTCATTCCCCTCCCCCCCTCCCCTTATCTTCCCACTCAGTCTATTTTTTCATTTACCGAGGACCTGTCATATATAACATTTATTCTCAATGTTTGTCAGTCATTAGCAGTCGTGCCTATTTCACTTTCTGTGTGTGTTTTGGGGCCCCATTGGGGGGGGGGGGGGGAGAGACCCATTACTCCTCCCTCCCACAACAAGCATGTCATAAAAGGCGGCTAATTAGGAGTCTGCTGGAATCAGATGTGTTGTGCTGATCAGCATAGACTAGCTATAAATCACAACACAGTGTGCTAGCTGCACTTTTAAGGATGAGCCCAGAATACGAAGAAGAACACCTTTTTCACAAGAATGTTGTAAAGTTTTATACTGTTGCTTAAAATCACAAGATGTAAAGTTTTGCAATGTTGCTGGACTTGATAAAATCACAAAAATGTTGTAAAATATAAGTTGTTGTGGTAAAATCACTAGAATATTTTACAGTTTTACAGTGTTGCTGGACATAGTAAAATCACAAGAACATTGTTTAGTTTTACGTGGTGGCAGGACTTAGTAAAATCACAAGAATTTTGTATATTTTCATTTCTTTGTTTGGATTTAAATCACTGATCAGATGTATAAACATCTTTTAGGCACACATGAGAAGCCTAAAGTTAAAGAAGAGCCACCTGATAGTTGGGAGATGTTGGATGGACAAGACGACTCCAAGGACAGAAGTCACATGAGTAATGTTTGCATGTCTTTAACATTCAAATTGTTTTAAATGTAGGTCAAACAAAATAATTCCAAACCCATGTTTTCCTGGCATGTTTAGAACTTGGTGTTTGACCTTTATTTTTAAGACCAACAGGCAGTTAATGGCTAACACCCAGTATGTACTGGTTAATTTTTATTTGCCTTTTTTATTTAAAAAACTAGAAAATATCATTCTGAAAAACAAATTATGCCCTGAGGTACTTTAAACCAAGAATCACTGGACCAACCTTGTCAGAGTCCTGTGCCACTATGAGATGTCGAAGAGTGGTGATGATTAATAAGCAGGATAGCGCTCATTTGACTGAAGCCTGACCGGGTGTTCAGTGACACACAAACAGCCAGCAGAATGCTGTGACCAGGTGATATAATCTCAAGGTTTCACGAGGTTTTGACAGACCAGCGGTGTGCATTGGGATTTGACAAAACGACAGAGAACAGGGTTTTTGAGGAGATGTGTTAGACTTTGGAGAGAATAGTGTTAGACTTTAGATAGGACATAGACTATATCTGACTGTTAGATATTTACTGTGTTAGTCTTAGATTAGCAACAGGGATTTGTGTAATGACGCGTGTAGTCAGACGATAGGATAATTATAGTGTTAGCTGGTGTTTAGTTTTTGTGTTAACTTACGTAGCAGTCCATTTGTGTGTCGAACATTGCTTTAGCAAATAGGTTCGCGAAGGGTTTTTGTCTGGTTATGTGGCGAGGTCTGTCCACTTACATCTCCAGTGTGGTATTGCAGCTCTCTTAGTGTAAGGTACAGAAGCTTCAGAAAGAACTTGTAAGGGAGACTGTTGGTTCAGACACTGATTGTAACCGTAAGACCGAGAGGGGCAGGGGTACGATGGGTTTGGTAGTACAAACCACTTTCGCCCAGGTGAACTGCCGCATTGCTTGTTGTAAATTAGAATGAAGACTTATGTGTATGCTCCGATGGTGTTGGTCTAGTTGTGTTTAGGGATAGACATTTCTGTCACGAGCCTACATATGAGCCATATGCCTTCACAGCAGTAAAGTAGGTTCCTGACCAGCCTGAATAAATAAAGCAAAAGATGATATGTAGACAGAGATAATAAATGGAAAGATGACATCAAGAGATTGACAAACAAAATGTAAGTGTGCAGGCAGTAGAAAAAATAGTGTTGGGGACAAATGAATGTGACCAAACTACACCAGATTGGTTCACATATCCATGGTAAATAACTTGGTATTAATATTGTTATTACATCATGAAACCAAATATGCAAGAATATTGTCAGCATGATTGTTGGTGTAAATTGACAAGATTGTTGTACAGTTTGGCATGGTTCTTGAAGTAAAATGACAAGTTTGTTATACAAAATGTCATGATTGTTTGGTGTAGAATGACAAGAATGCTGGGTAACTTGGCAGTGTTGTTGGGTGTAAAATGACAAGTTTGTTTTACAGTATGTCATGGTTGTGGGTGTAAAATGACAAAAATGCTGCGTAACTTGGCAATGTTGTTGGGTGTAAAATGACAAGTGTTATGCAGTTTGATATAATTGTTAGGTGTTAAATGACAAAAATGTTGTGTAGCTTGCCAAGGTTGTTGGTGTAAAATAACAAGAATGAGGGGTAACTTGCCATGGTTGTTGGTGTAAAATAACAAGAATGTTGTGTAACTTTGCATGGTTATTGGTGTAAAATAACAAGAATGTTGTGTAGCTTGCCATGGTTGTTGGTGAAAAATAACAGGAATGTTGTGTAAAGTGACATGACTGTTATAAAACTTAAAAGATTTGGTAGGTGTCACTTACCAGGATGTGTATGCACATCTTTCAGACACAAAAACAGAGTCTAGGATTAAAGTGGAGTCACCTGATAGTGGTGACTTGATGGATGGACAAAACCAGAGGACTGGCAGGAGCATCCTGGGTAATATTTATGTGTCCTTGATATTACATCATGCAGATTAAACGTTTCTGAGTGAAGTATACATGCAGATTAAACGTTTCTGAGTGAAGTATACAAGCAGATTAAACGTTTCTGAGTGAAGTATACATGCAGATTAAACGTTTCTGAGTGAAGTATACAAGCAGATTAAACGTTTCTGAGTGAAGTATACATGCAGATTAAACGTTTCTGAGTGAAGTATACATGCAGATTAAACGTTTCTGAGTGAAGTATACATGCAGATTAAACGTTTCTGAGTGAAGTATACAAGCAGATTAAACGTTTCTGAGTGAAGTATACAAGCAGATTAAACGTTTCTGAGTGAAGTATACAAGCAGATTAAACGTTTCTGAGTGAAGTATACAAGCAGATTAAACGTTTCTGAGTGAAGTATACAAGCAGATTAAACGTTTCTGAGTGAAGTATACAAGCAGATTAAACGTTTCTGAGTGAAGTATACATGCAGATTAAACGTTTCTGAGTGAAGTATACAAGCAGATTAAACGTTTCTGAGTGAAGTATAGCAGTGAACAATGGTTGGATGTTTTCCTGTATTAGTCAGTTGTTTTTCAGTGGGTGACTCTTATTTATGTTTTTTAGACATATAGAAAGTTACAAAATGCAGATAATCTGCTTCCTGACATATGGATGTGAGTCATGGGCAGGGACAACGGCTCCCAGAAGCCGGACAAAAATGTCTCAGAAATGAGGTATCTGAGAAAGGTAGTCTAAGTGACAAGTAGGGACAAAGTTCACAGTCAGAAAGTACATCATGACTTTGAAATCCAGGCCCTGCAAACCCAAGTGGATCAGTCACAGTTAAATGGTTTGGACATGTATGCAAAATGGGAGAGGATTCACCACCAACTTAGGTATGGGAGGCTAAGAACCAGGGAACCAGACCACTAGGGCAACCCTGGGTCCGCTGGGAAGACAACATCCGACAGTCCCTAATTAATAGAGGACTGGAATGGAACAAAGCTGAAAAGAAAACGGCTGATAGAGAAGTCTGGCAATATCTCGGTCAAACCTCTACGCCCCAAGGTAGAAGAGGAGCGACTAAGTAAATTAGTGAATCAGATAATCTGCTTACAGTATTGGTTGTGGGGAAAAAAAGACAAAAATGCTGTACACCTTTTCTCAACAACAGCAAAAAAAATGGACGAATGAATGCATCAAAAATTTATAAAACTGCACTCGGAACATTGTAACACCTTCTCTGTCCTCTTCTTCAGTAGTCAACGAAGAGTGGCCATGCTAATAGTACCAGTTGAACCTGATTAAAAGTCTACCTCTCTTTCCCTCCCTCATTGTTGAATATCTTCCAGAACCTCTACCTGCCCCCCCCCCCCCCCCTTTTCCCCGCTGATTTAGTCTTTCAGTGCATGGATTTCTTATCTGCTCTATTGCACTGTCCATTTGATGGATGTTGTTTTAATTTATGTTGAGTTTGAAAGACAAAAAATTTACAGATTGCCTTCTCTTGGATGTGAAATTACGTACCAGGAAAATGTTTACAATTCTCCAGACACACAGCTAGAACGAAGGGTTAAAGAGGAGCCACCTGAGAGTTGGGAGGTGTCACATGCGCCAGACCGGGACTTCAAGTATAGAAACCCCATGGGTAATATTTGCATGTCTATTGTACCAGTAATAAATTGTATCACATGAGTAATATTTGTATGTCTGTTTTACTGGTTATAAATGGTACTGCATAGGTGATACTTTTATCTCTGTTGTACTGATTATAAATTGTACTACAGGGATAATATTTGTATGTCTGTTGTACTGATTATAAATGGCATTAATGTAATACATGTATGCATGTTGTACCATAATAAATGGTACCATAAGTAATACTGCATGTTGTACTGATTATAAATATTTATGTGTGTAATATATGTACTATGTGGTACCTATTATAAATGGTACCATGTACCTGTCAGGTTTAGCCATCCCAAAACTGACATTTTCCAAAAGTTTAAAATTTTGTCCCAGACTATCTATCATTTCACACTACAGCAGATAGTCTGAGGAGTAGATGGGCATTTTAGAGCAAATTGGTGGCAGAAAAAGAGATAGGCAAACGAAGAAAAAAACATTTTACTAAGAAATTTCCCCAACAACTTTTGCTGTTCTACCACTTCACATTGAGTTCCAAACACTTATTTCACACATGAATTGACACTGTAGATATAGAATAGGTAATCTCGATGTATAATTTGACATTTTGGAGCAAACTTTTGCCAGTCCAAAACATACATTTTCCTGCCGTTGCGGAGCAGCTAGACGCTCGCCACGGAATGGAAGGTCGTGGGTTCGCTCCCTGGTGGAGCTGGACTCTTTAAAAAAATGACCTTGGCTCCCAGGTCACCCAGCCTTGAGTGGGTACCAGGTGCAGTCCCGGAAAGTAAAGGTGGCCGGCGTGATGCTGACCACATCATCTATCTTATGCCGATTGGTCTAAAAAATATAGGTCTAGCCCTATATGCCCTATACGCCTAAAGGCGTGGAAAAGGGTGCTTTACTTACTTTACTTTTTTCTTCTAGAACACTGTGCAGTTTTTGTCTTTATTTCTCTGTGGTTGTTATTAATAATGTTACTCTATCTTTTGGTGTTTTACTAATGCTATATTGCTGAATATTTTTCTTCTTCTTCGCATTCACTGGCTGTAAATCTGACAGAAAGTTTTGGTTGTTCATGCACTTCCTGACTTTAGTCTTGTTCCAGAACCTGAGTTTTGTCTACACATCGGCTTTACAGATTTGGCTTATTTTAATGCAGACTATTGGTTCCTTGCCTTTCAGGCACTCCAGATTAAAAGGAAACTTCTAGTTTGTCTGTCTACTCTTACTACATGCTTGTTAGGCTGACAGTGGGTCTGTTTGGTTTTGTTTTGTTTTCCTTACAATGCCACCTCTCCCAGAACTTACACAGGGAAATATTTTTTTAAAATTGTGGTTGCCTGGAGTTATTACTGTAAGAGGATTCTTGTGAGATGGACATTTTATATGTTGTTGTTTAATGAATTATGGTAATTTATGATCCTTTTATAATAAGAGTTGTTCGGTTTGGTTGGATGATCTAATTTCCTTGCTTTGCTTGTGTTAGCCCAAGAGGACAGCCAATCACAAGATGACGCTGTCATTGATCTGGATGATTTTGATGATGATGGGCTGCTGTTGCCGAGTGTCTCAGGTGTGGTCCAGTATATGCAGTCTCATGGAGACTACCCATATGAAGGGAATGAGGCAGGAGCAGGTGAGTTTATCTACTGGGTGAAATGGTGTAGGTATGGGATTGTTGGTGAGCATTGTTTGTGCTGTCTGTGGGATTCTTCTTTTTTTTTTTTTTTTACTGTCACTGCGATCCTTATAGTGCTGTCTATGGGATCCTTTTTTTGCTGTTTGTGGGGTCCTGATTGTGCTGTCACTGTGATCCTTATAGTGCTGTCTATGGGATCCTTTTTTTTGCTGTTGTGGGATCCTGTTTGTGCTGTCACTGTGATCCTTATAGTGCTGTCTATGGGATCCTTTTTTTGCTGTTTGTGGGGTCCTGTTTGTGCTGTCACTGTGATCCTTATAGTGATGTCTATGGGATCCTTTTTTTGCTGTTTGTGGGGTCCTGTTTGTGCTGTCACTGTGATCCTTATAGTGCTGTCTATGAGATCCTTTCTTTTTGCTGTTTGTGGGGTCCTGTTTGTGCTGTCACTGTAATCCTTATAGTGATGTCTATTGGATCCTTTTTTTGCTGTTTGTGGGGTCCTGTTTGTCAGTGTGATCCTGTTTGTGCTGTCACTGTGATCCTTATAGTGCCGTTTATGGGATCCTCTTTTTGCTGTTTGTGGGATCCTGTTTGTCAGTGTGATCCTGTTTGTGCTGTCACTGTGATCCTTTTAGTGCTGTCTATGGGATCCTTTTTTTTGCTGTTTGTGGGATCCTGTTTGTCAGTGTGATCCTGTTTGTGCTGTCACTGTGATCCTTATAGTGCCATCTGTGGGATCCTCTTTTTGCTGTTTGTGGGGTCCTGTTTGTCAATATGATCCTGTTTGTGCTGTCACTGTGATCCTTATAGTGCCATCTGTGGGATCCTCTTTTTGCTGTTTGTGAGGTCCTGTTTGTCAGTGTGATCCTGTTTGTGCTGTCACTGTGATCCTTATAGTGCTGTTTATGGGATCCTTTTTTTGCTGTTTGTGGGATCCTGTTTGTCAGTGTGATCCTGTTAGTCCTGTCACTGTGATCCTTATAGTGCTGTCTATGGGATCCTTTTTTTGCTGTTTGTGGGATCCTGTTTGTCAGTGTGATCCTGTTTGTGCTGTCACTGTGATCCTTATAGTGCCGTCTGTGGGACCCTCTTTTTGCTGTTTGTGGGGTCCTGTTTGTCAATGTGATCCTCCTGTTTGTGCTGTCTGTGGGATCCCATTTTTGCCACTGGTGCAGATTTGTTAATTGGATATAGTAAAAGTAAAATATCTATTCCATGCCTTTTTTTTGGTAAAGGGCATATAGTACTAACCTATATTTTATAGACCAGTCGCACTTGGTGGGTGATGTCAGCTCCACGCCGGCCACCTTTACTTCCCAGGAGTTTACCTGGTACTTTTTAAGACTGAATCAGCAAAGGTAATATTTTTGAAAAAGTTAGGCTTTATTCGGATTTGAACCCATGACCTTCGGATTTACAGGTGAGCAACTAGCTTCTACACCTTGGCGGCTCCTGTTAATTGGATTTGAGGTACATGAAATAGACTTAACTGATAAAGCAGTCAGAATACATTCATTCCAGTCTTTTATTGGTTCCAAATCTGTTCTTTGACCCACATCTTTTCTTGAACCCACATCTATTCTTGAACCTACATCTCTTGATCCCACATCTATTCTTGAACCCACATATCTTCTTGAACCCGAACCCACATTTATTCATGAATCCGAAACTCTTCTTGAACCCATATCTCTTATTAAACCATATCTCTTTTTCAACCCATATCTCTTTTTGAACCCATATCTCTTCTTGAACTCATACATATTAAGCCTCTTCAAAACAACACTTAGCATTGAACATTCATAATTTATGTTAGCATTCCATATTTTTGTTTTCTTTCAGATTATCAGAATGATTTCATGGAAACTGACAACCCCACACTAGACCGAGAGATGGCAGAGCACATGCAGCAGATGAAGTCTGATCCCCAGTTTGTCAGAATGCTTGACTTCAGGAAGAAATTGCCTTCTTATGCATATAAAGATGTAAGATTACTTATTGTAATCATAACAGAGGAGATCTAAGGCCAGCTTCTTCTTCTCTAGATGGTTGAAAATGGTTTAAGTTCAGGGACCATATTTTTCAAGACAAGAAGAATAGTTTCGCTGACCCTTAACAAGCATGCTGAAAAAATGACTGATTAAAAATGTTGCTGAAATCGAATGTAGGGGGCTGAATGGTGCAGATTAGCTGAAAACCACAACACAATATGCCAAGAGTAAACACTGAAGAAGAAGAAAAAGAAAGTTCAAAAGTGAAATCGGGTAGCCTACAAATAGTCCAAGGGACGTGACTGCTACTGCAAGCAAGACTGACTTTGAAAAAGGGAGTTGTGTACCATAACAGCAAGTGTCATTGGGTCACCAGTTGATGTTGACTGTCGGATTAATCCCCCCCCCCCCCCTCAATCCACCTATGTCAGTCAAACACTGCGGACTTTATTTTTCTATATTTTAGGCTTTTCCATTCACCCAGATTCTGTGTCTACTTCTTCCTTGGTCTGCTTCATCTCCTCTTCCCCTCTACATAGCCCTGTAGTATTATTTTAGAGAGGCACGTGGATCTTGGTACATGTCCGTACCCTTGCCTGGTCCGTCTTTTCACTGTTGGTAAGTAAGATTAATAGTGGCCAACATGTGATTGTGATGATAATTTTGGTACTGATGATGACTATGCAACAAACAAATATCAGGAAGAAAAATGACAAATTCTTAGAATGCTGTGGACCAAGAAAAAGACAAACTTTGGCATCCTGCATGACCTGAACATCAAGGAGAATTGGCTCATAAACAGCATTCTTCCCTGGAAGCTGAGGTATTTTGGACATGTTAAGCACCAAGATGGCCTGGAGAGAACGGTGATGGAGTGTGCAGTTTCTGGAAAACTAAGCAGAGGCTGACTTCTGCGAAGATGGTTACAGGATGTTGAAGATGCACAGGCTATGAAAGCAAACAGGGCTGGAGAATTGGCTTGCAAAAGAGAAACTTTCAGGACTGGCGTGAAGAGAGTGATGTGCTGATTGATTGGTTGATAATGATTGTACTGGTGATAATGGTGGAGCTGCGTTGATAATCTTGATGATTGTAGAGTTGTTGGTGTTGTAGTAATGATGACAGTGGTGAGGATGATTATGATATATTGTTTTGCATTGGAGAGAAGCAGCTGATTGAACGATTAACAACCTTGGGGTCTTGTGCAAGAGACCCAGGTTTGAATTCTCGGTGAGGTTATGGGTTGTTTCTGTCAGGGGTAAAAATGAAATCCTAACCTACACAGTGGGTGCGACTGCATTAACTATACACTTATACATCCTCAGTGACTTACCTCCCACTGCCTGCACCAAACAAGTGCTACATGCAGGCTTTATTAGCAGTTTTTAGGGGGTGGGGGAGGGGGCATTGATAGTGGAAATGTGACAGTGATGTTGATTATTGTTATAATAATGATGATAATAATTGTTTGGGTAGTGTTCTTTCTACGGTGGTATTAGAAGGTTATCACATTTAAAAAATGAGAAGACAGAAGTAATTGTGATTTCAAAGAAAAGAATAGTGCATTAATTTATAATAAGAGTCAAAGGCCTTTTTTTTAGAACAAGTACAGAAATTTAAGTATCTGGGCACTTTCGATGGACAGATTTGTGGAAAGAGGGATAAAGGAAGACAGCACAAGATGATTCTTAACAGCCTTTTGTCATGGTATGGAGGGGTGTTAGCACTCGAACTGATATACGCAGCATGATCGCCCACGCCAGTCGGCAAGGCATTTGCCCCAATTATCAAAATAGAAGTGTTGATGATGATGATTTATCAAGTAATTGTAATGATAATGGCGATTGGGTGTCTGGGGTAATAATAATGATGGCACAGCGACTCAGGACGTGACGATCCAGTTGCCCCAACTACTCATGCTTAGGCCATGCTTAGAGCCATGAAGAGCTCAGCGAAACCTGCAGGCAATCTGGTGGCGGGGAATGAGCACACTGTGAGCCCCACCTTAGCTACGTGTTAAAGGGGAAGGCAGAAACACAACCCATATTTCCTTTAGAACTGGTACAGGGCATTTCTAGCTGCTGCCCGGGGAGGTAGGTAATCCACAGACACCCCAGCACCACAATGCCATGAATATGTCAAACAACAACAACATAATGTTGGTGATAGTGGTGATAGTAATGTTAATAAATTTAATGTTATCATATTAATAGTGATAGTGATGGCAATTATGATTATGTTAAAAATAGTTGTGGTGAAGGTGATACCTCTATTTATTATATTGCTATTTTGATGAAAGTAATTGTTAATTGTCGATTTGCTGTCTCCCAGACTATCATAGAGGCCGTAGCCAATAACCAGGTGCTGGTTATAAGTGGAGAAACAGGATGTGGGAAAACTACGCAGGTGAGATGCTATCTTCTTAGGTAGTTCATAGTTCATGTTAGAGATCATCTTCATCGCACATCGGATATGACCATATAGTACAGAACCTAAAGAAAAGATTTAAAACTGAATGAAAAGTATTTAAGCAAGCTTCACAATATAACAAATACAAACAAAACATAAACTTGGCGGCTATTGAGCCTGAACTGAACTGAATTTCTACCCCACCAGGACATCACACAAGCGATAAACACCCGATGACACAAAGTGCCACCATGTGGATGAGGATCGCCGTGGAGAGGTCCCAGAAACCGCGTTCAGACATTTGGCCATATATATGGCCTGCCTATATTGCGGCCCCTGGCAAAAGCCAGAGTAGGGCTTCAAATGACAAAACATTTCGTCCTAAAAAGGACGAAATTGTATAATATATATTATATATAGGCTATTGAGCCTTCATCAGCACATACAAAGAACCTAAAGAAGAGTCCTGTCTTCTGTGTCATCTCAGCAGAATATGCAGGAGTTGGGGATAGTGAAAGAACTGATGGGCTGGCTGTCTGACAGAAGCAGCTGTTCACAAAGAATTAGAAAGTGGATGTTGTAAATGTCATCAGGTTTTGGGATGAAAGATTGGCTTTGAGCTGATTGAATCAACATTAGTAGTTAGAATGCAAACTCTTGGAATGAAGACTGATGTAGCTGGAAAAGAGCAGCACACACACAGTGGGTTTTGTTGCTCATCAGTCAGCATCGCACTTGTTCACTTAGTTACTGTATGCTGTTAGATTTATTATAAGGAAATCTGAGCTCCAGAAGACGTCTGGCTTGCACTGATAATTCTTCCTTTCTTCCTTCCTTCCTTCCTTCCTTCCTTCCTTCCTTCCTTCCTTCCTTCCTTCCTTCCTTCCTTCCTTCCTTCCTTCCTTCCTTCCTTCCTTCCTTCCTTCCTTCCTTCCTTCCTTCCTTCCTTCCTTCCTTCCTTCCTTCCTTCCTTCCTTCCTTCCTTCCTTCCTTCCTTCCTTCCTTCCTTCCTTCCTACCTTCCTTCCTACCTTCCTTCCTTTCCCTTCCTTCCTTCCCTTCCCTTCCCTTCCTTCCTTCCTTCCCTTCCTTCATTTCTTCCTTCCTCCTACATGTTCCTCTCACTTGTGGTCTAGTTATATAGGTATAGACAGTCTCTAGCATGCCTTTCCTGAGGGAGCATTTTACTGTCAACTCTTGAAGCTCTTTTATCACAGGCAGACATTATTCCGGTTGACGACATCTTCTGACTGACATGAAAAAATTGATTATGTTGACAACTATACAGACCACACATTGAAAACATTAACAGTGCACTTGAGTTCAAAGGGTCCAACTCACCAAATAATTTTACTTCATGTCATCGTCGGTTTCTTCATATGGCATCTGTTCATTGTAGGTCACTGTGGTGGGTCTCCAACACTCACTCTCCTGCCGTCATATGACATTCATACAGATTTCTACAGGTCCACCTTGTCATTTGCCATTCATACAGGCTTCTTTAAAGTCTATCTTGTGTGACATGCATACATACTTCTATAAGTCTTGCTTTGTCCTGTGACATTCATACAGGCTTCAAGTCAATCTCTTGATGATGTCCCCTACATGTAACTCTGACTTCCTGTTGCACCTAACTTTATTTCAGCCTCCTCACTTCATCTCATTTCAGGTTCCTCAGTTCATCCTGGATGATTTTATTGCTAGAGGAGTTGGCTCTCAGTGCAGGCTCATCTGTACCCAGCCACGGAGAATCAGCGCCATATCCGTAAGTTGACCCAGCGCCGTATCGTAAGTTGACCCAGTGCCATATCTGTAAGTTGACTCAGTGCCATATCCATAAGTTGACCCAGTGCCATATCGTAAGTTGACCCAGTGCCATATTGTAAGTTGACCCAGCGCCATATCTGTAAGTTGACCTAGCGCCATATCCGTAAGTTGACCCAGTGCCATATCCTAAGTTGACCCTGTGCCATATCCATAAATTGACTGGTTATTGTTTGTGAATACATTTTTATGAGTTAAAAAAGCTCCCTGTGTGGGTTCCATAGCCCCATTATAGGGGGAGGGTGAATAGACCAATTTCCCCAACAAGCATGTCTTTAAAGTAAACTAATTAGGGGTGTTTCCTTTAGAATCGGAGTGCATCAGTCAGAGAGGCAAGGCACTAAGTCTGCATACAAATAAGCCAGATGTGCTGACATTTTCCTTAAGTTAAAAATTTAGTCTCAAACTATCATTTCACCCTTCAACAGATACTCTAGAGAAGTGGTTGAGATTTTGGTGCAAATTAATGGCAGAGAAATGGGTAGGCAAGCGAGGAAAAAACAGATTTGACTAAGAAATTTCCCCAACTTTTGGTATCCTACCAAACAATTATTTTACACATGAATAGACACTATATTATAATTAATAGATGTGTAATCTGCCATTTTGGAGCAAACTGGAGGCAAAAATGGACCACAGACATGTGTGTCCTGAGTCACATACCCCAAGTACCATAGACATGTCTATTGTGGGTGGCATACACCAAGTACCATAGACGTGTCTGTCATGGGTCACATACACCAAGTAGCACAGACGTGTCTGTCATGGGTCACTTACCCCAAGTACCACAGACATGTCTGTGATGGGTCACTTACCCCAAGTACCCAAGAGATGTCTGTCATGTGTCACATACCCCAAATAGCACAGACATGTCTGTCATAGGTCACTTACCCCAAGTACCCAGCAGATGTCTGTATGTGTCACATACCCCAAGTAGCACAGACATGTTTGTCATGGGTCACTCACCCCAAGTAGCACAGGCATGTTTGTCATGGATCACATGCCCCCATGGGTCAAATACCCCAAGTACCACAGACTGTCAGTCATGGGTAACATACCTCAAGCCTAAAAGTTTGATCATTTGTGGTCACAGGTGGCTGAACGTGTTGCTGCCGAGAGATGTGAAAAAGTTGACACTGATCGCTCATCAAGTGTGGGCTACCAGATCAGGCTGGAGACGTAAGTTATCTCCAATTTACATTTTGTTTTTCTGTTGATTCTGACATGCTGTGTTGTCAGTTGATGCTGTCACATTATTTCTATGGTCACATTTTATCATCATTCAATACTGTCACATTGTATCATCAGTCAATACTGTCACATTGTATCATCAGTCAATACTGTCACATTGTATCATCAGTTGATACTGTCACACTTCATCTGTTGGTGCTACTGCATTTAGTCTGCTAATGCTGTCATATTATATCATCAGTCCATACTGTCACAATTCATCTGTTGGTGCTGCTGCATTTAGTCTTTTGATACTGTCACATTTTATCTGTTTAGGCTATCACATTGCATCAGTTGATGCTGTAATATTTTATCTTTTGATGTTGTCATTTTTTTAATCTGTTGATATGCCACATTTTATTTGTTGATGCTGTCACATTGTATTAGTTGATGCTGTCACAATTATTCTGTTGATGCTGTCACAATTTATCTGTTAATGAAGTCACATTGTATCTGTTGATGCTGTCACATTGTATCTGTTGATGCTGTCTCATTTTATCTGTTGATGCTGTCACATTTTATCTGTTGATGCTGTCACATTGTATCTGTTGATGCTGTCACATTGTATCTGTTGATGCTGTCACATTGTATCTGTTGATGCTGTCACATTGTATCTGTTAATGCTGTCACATTGTATCTGTTGATGCTGTCACATTTTATCTGTTGATGCTGTCACATTTTATCTGTTGGTGCTGTCACATTGTATCTGTTGATGTTGTCACATTTTATCTGTTGACGCTGTCAGGTTTTTACATTTGATTTTCTTAGTGTTAATATTTCTCGACTGGGTTGGAATCCACATTGAGTTGGATGTGCATTTTTGTTGTCCAAAAATGAACTTGGCTTCAGGTCAACCCACCCTAAATGTGGGTACCAGGCATTGTCCTGAAAGTCAAGGCATCCAGCTTGATGGTGACCATGTTGCCATTACATACCGATTGATCTTTAATAGGTGAGACTAGTAACATTTCCCTGATGCACCACTGGCCTTAAAAAAGGGGGTTCTTGTACATGTCTCATTTCCCTTCCAACACCACCAATGAGTTCTCCTTGCCAAAGAAACAACATTAGCATTATCAGAAACATAATCAGTAATAGAATTCTCAAACAAAAACATAATTAACTAAGAGTAAGTAACATTCATTAGATCTGTTACAGATGTAACTATGGTCGGTAATAATGTAAATCACTATTCCATTGCAGGAAACAACCTCGACCCCAGGGCTCCATATTGTTCTGTACCACTGGAATTGTACTCAAGTTTCTGGAAGGTGACCCGTAAGTTTCGTAGGCTTCTTTCTGCTGTTTTATTTGTTAGAGGGAGGAGATGGAGTCATAATTCTGTTTAATATGTAGATAAAGTTTTTAAATATCAAGGTGTGTGTGTTTATATATATTTTTAAATATTAAGATATATACTATATTTTACAAACTAAATAAGGCTCATTTCTAAGCAAAAGAACAAATGTAATACATTGAACATTTATCCTTAGTTTTTAAAACCAATTACAACTTTTTTTTGGGACATTATTTTAACCAGTAATGTGTGAAACCAAACTGACCTTTAAAATCCAGAAACTGTTACTTGCTTCTTGTTGTCTGTATGGAAATCCTAGCACATCAGTCAGACCCATTCATGCTGCATCCTCTGATGCAGCAGCCATCTTAGTGTCTCCATGCTCAATATACACAGTAGCAGTTGACTGGCATATCTTCTTTCTTTTCTCCACAACCGGTTTCTGCATACTTGTCCTCATTAAGAACCCCTTTCCTACGGGCAGTCTGTCTCTGACTTGTTTGTCTCACTGTTTTTGGAATGCAGCGCATTCCGTATATCTGCCCTGTCCATACTTCTGTATCCACTAACCACTGCACACACAACCAGTCTGTTGCCTCTTTTATTGTCTTTCACCCCAGCTTATTCTGGTATTTTTGAGGTGGTACTTCTGGATGCTGTCCACCCATTCTAGTCAGAGTTTACCAGTTTGGATTTTTTTAAGCATACGCATTGAGTCACAGTAAAACTGTCATCTAATCTTTCCTCTCCTGTCCTAATTTGTTCTCATCATCTCTTTTCCTAATATTTATTATAGTTTTAGCTTTAGTATCTCAATATCTTTCAAAACATTGAGATTATGCCTCATTTATGGTTTATGGTTTATTTAAGGGATCAACATCATGGCACATGGGTGTAACCCATTAGTGCTCCATTCTACTTCTAACTCAAGCCGAGTCTGAAGAATCTCAGTGCAGTGCACAAACACCATAGATTTATTTGGGTAGATTTTTAGCTCCAAATTTCGCCCGGGCACCGCCGTTAGGCTTCTTATTTTTGATTTCCAACTGCCAAGGGATTTTTTTTATGTATGCAACAATACACTCGGGCATCTGATCTTACTACACAGAGACCAGGGGAAATTACTAGAAGTCTATGTGAAAAAATCCCAGCCTTCATCAGGGTTTGAGCCCGGGACCTCCAGTGTTCAAGGCTGATGCCATACCTCGAGACCACTCATTCTTCTCTATAACCATATGTCTGTGGCTGACTTCAAGAGATTAGTTTGTTTCACTAGTTCGTTCATGATTCACACTATGATCACATTGATTCCATGCAACATGCACACAATTTTTCAACATCAAATGACAGTTACGTATGGTATATTATTTTATGTTTGTTTAATCTTGAGATGGTACTATTTTTCATCCCATCTCGTCGGGTGCGAGATTACTTTGGGAATTCCCTGTGACAGTTCTATTGTCTTAGGGTGTTATAACATGCCTTTGTTGGCCGTGTACATACAACGTGTCAACAAGTGTCTTGGCTTCATTTGACCGGGTTGACACATGGTCTCCCAGACAAAAGTGCACAGGTTTTTTTTCTCCCAGATGAAAGTGAACTACTGTCTTTTCTGTGAATGACTGTTCAAGGGTTAATGTGAGATGCAGGAATACTGAGAGGTCAAGGAAACACATGGCGTAGGCCAAGTCAAGAAGTAAGAACAGTGCTTCCAGACAGGACACAGTGAGGGCGAGAAACAAACACAAGTAACGCACACTGGAAATGACGACATAGCAAACGATAATTATACTGAAAAGCACCAACACCTGACATGCTTAGAATATAGGAGTTTTAATGTTTTAGGGTTAGTGTTAAATGAACAGCGACTAAGATAACCCTAACGCTAACCACCCTAGACTGCAGGACTGTCCTAGGGAATTACTTTGATATCTCGCACCCGACAAGATGAGTTGAAAAAGCTGAATAGTACCCTTGATATTTAACTATGCATAATAAACAGCCTTTTTAGACTCCGTCGCTGAGCTGTTGGAGTAATCCTGTCACTTTCTTAATTGTGAAACAGATCCCTGAGACGTGCCACTCATATCATACTTGATGAGATTCATGAGCGGGACCTCCAGTCAGATTTCCTCATGATCATTCTCAAGGATCTCATACAGCAGCGACGTGACCTCAAGGTCATTCTCATGAGTGCTACTCTCAATGCAGAGATGTTTTCACAATACTTCCGTAAGTCAGACCTCTTCTTCACATGTCATGTTAGCAAGGGTCGCCATGTTTTATATGTCAGCCTTCAGGAACTGCATTAGAGCATTGGCTTGAATGGTGGCCTAGTGGTTGTTGTTCAAACCTGTCTTGGGATGGGGGTTTTTAAAAATTGACCTGGCACTTCCACCATATGGGTGCTGGGGTCCCATTCATGTAGCGCAGAAGAGGAGGGGCAGTTGACCGACTGTACTCAGCAAGAATGTTATAAAAGGCAATTAATTAGGATTTTGCTGAAATCTGAGGCGTTGTGTCAAAAGGCACAGATTTCACAGCCTAGCTGTAAACCACAATACAACAGCAACATGCCAGCTGCATTTATGGGTAAAGGCAAAATAAAAAGAAGATCAGTGATGGCCCCAGCCTAAGATATGTACTAAAAATGTTTTAGAAAGGAAAGGTGGTGGGCATATTATTGATGACATCACACATTGAGTGCCAGTTTGTCTGTAAAAATATTGGACTGACACCATATAGCCAGTTTTTTTTTTATGATGTGAGAAAGGGTCGTTTAGTTTGCTATATTTTATACTAGCAAACTTCAGCAGGTTTCATCACAGTGAAAAACATGGTCTTTCCTCCCTCTGTTTACTAGACTGGTGTCTAAGGTCCTCTCTGTGGTAATCTAGTTTTTCCGTTTGCCCCATGACATGACCAGCGCACCTCAGAAGGATTCATCGTAGTGAAATCTTTGGTCTTTCCTCCCTCTGTTTACTAGACTGGTGTCTAAGGTGCTCTTTGTGGTAAACTAGTTAAACCATTTGTCCCATAACATGAGAAAGTGTACCAGCACACCTCAACAAGTTTCCTAGTAGTAAAAACCTTGGTCTTCCCTCCCTTTGTTCACTAGACTGGTGTCTAAGGTGCTGTCTATGGTTAACTAGTTAAACCGTTTGCCTCCCATTGTGAATTTCATAGTTTTGGTTTCAGGCTTTGAATACATATAGGCATGCTAGACAAGATTGACATTTTGTAAAGGTCCTGCTGATGGATGATGATGATGACCCTGTGTTCAGTCTGAACAAAGAAGACACAAACACTAGATTGCACAATTTTATTGCCTGGTAAATTTTGCTGTCTCTTTCATCAGGTCTTACGACAGCAAACATCAAATCAAATGAAGCAAATAAATGAAACCTCTAAAAGTGAAATACAAAATCAACTACACTCAAAAGTTACTGCTTCTTCTTTCTTCTTCCTGTTCACCAGCTGTAAACTCTGGTGGAAAGTTCTGGTTGTTTGTCCACTGTCTGACTGTAGTCCCTTTTCAGAACCTGAGTGTTGCATGTGCATCTGTTTTACAAATCTGACTTATTTCTATGCATACTGTTGGTTCCTTGCCTATCAGGCAGATGCACTCTGAATTTGAAGGAAGCTCCCAATTTGTCAACTCTTATGACATGCTTTTTGGGGATGCAGTGGGTCTGTTCTCCCCCCCCCATAATAGGGTCCTGGAACCCACACGGGAAAGTTACTGATTGTTTTACCAGAGCAAGCACAACTGTAGCATGCATGTGACAAGATGCGGCAGAATATGCCAAGCAGCACATTTTGCAGTCTGTTGTCTGTGTCTGTCTTTGTTGTTCAAGTTTAAATTGGGGAAGCATTGCTTTGTTCAGTTTCTGATTTTGTTCCCTTGTTGCCGCAGACAACTGCGCCATGTTGAACATTCCTGGCTTCACATACCCGGTCAAGGAGTATTACCTGGAGGATGTTATTGAATTCACAAGGTAGGCCTTGGCATTTTTATACCTTAACCTATGTTTATACCTTGACTTATGTTTATACCTTGACTTATGTTTATACCTTGACCTATGTTTATACCTTGACTTATGTTTATACCTTGACCTATGATTATACCTTGACCTATGTTTATACCTTGACCTATGTTTATACCTTGACTTATGTTTATACCTTGACCTATGTTTATACCTTGACCTATGTTTATACCTTGACCTATGTTTATACCTTGACCTATGTTTATACCTTGACCTATGTTTATACCTTGGCCTATGTTTATACCTTGACCTATGTTTATACCTTGGCCTATGTTTATACCTTGACTTATGTTTATACCTTGACCTATGTTTATACCTTGACCTATGTTTATACCTTGACCTATGTTTATACCGTGACCTATGTTTATACCTTGACCTATGTTTATACCTTGGCCTATGTTTATACCTTGGCCTATGTTTATACCTTGACCTATGTTTATACCTTGGCTTATGTTTATACCTTGACCTATGTTTATACCTTGACTTATGTTTATACCTTGACCTATGTTGATACCTTGACCTATGTTTATACCTTGACTTATGTTTATACATTGACCTATGTTTATACCTTAGCCTATGTTCATACCTTGACATATGTTTATACCTCGACCTATCTATACACCTTTCCCTATCTGTATACCTTGACCTATCTATATACCTTGACCTATCTGTATACCTTGACCTATACAGATAACATATTTTCATGCCTTTACATCTGCTTTATACATTGATGTATATTTTATACCTTGATCTTTAATCATGCCTTTTCATCTACATTATACATTTAGGTATATTTTATACCTTGACCTATCATTATACCTTGATCTTTATTCATGCCTTTACATCTACTTTATACATTGATGTATATTTTATACCTTGACCTATCGTTACACTTTGATCTTTATTCATGCCTTTACATCTACTTTATACATTGATGTATTTTAAGGCCTTGACCTATCTTTATACCGTGATCTTTATTCATGCCTTTACATCTACTTTATATATTGATGTATACTTTATGCCTTGACCTATCTTTATACCTTGATCTTTGTTCATGCCTTTACATCTAGTTTATACATTGATGTATATTTTATAACATATGTCATATCATGTTATTTTATACCTTGACCTTTGATGTAATTTGACCTTTGTTTAATACTCTCTCTGCTTCTTATTTTTTCTGTTTTAAACCTCGTTTGTTGATATAACCTGATCTTTGATAAAACTTGACCACTGATATATCTTGACCACTGATATATCTTGAACGCTGATTTATCATGACTGTTGATATATCATGACCATTTATATTTTTTGACTGCTGATACATCTCGAATTCTGATATATTTTAACAATTGAAATATCTCAACTGCTGATATATCTTAACACTGTAACCCCAAGAAGCCGCAAAACTAACACTTCTGGTTGGGACCAGTTCATTGTAAATGTCACTTTTCTAGCTTGTCTATATTGACATGTTTAGTTAATAGTTAATGTTTAGTTAATGGAGTCGTATAGTTAATGGTGTTGGCTGTGCTCATGCCTGGGCAAATGTTTATGAAGTTCAAAGCTTCACTCTGTTTGTGTTTTTTTGATTACTCCCTATATATTTTTAAGGACCTGTGGAATGCTTTCTGTTCAAAGCTCCACTCTGTTTGTTTGTGTTTATTTATAACTCCTTATATATTTTTAAGCACCTGTGGAATGCTTTCTGTTCAAAGCTCCACTCTGTTTATGATTATTGATTACTCCCTATATATTAAAAAATAAAAAATCATTCGTATATAAATACATAAAAAAAAAAAATTACTAGAGTGGTGATGGCCTCAAGGCTTCCATTATTTTTTGTTTCTGCTACAAACAGTAAAACAGGTCAAGTGTTCTAATTGCTTAAGATGAAAACACCTTTTTTTTAAAACTCAGGTGTTTTAATTTGGAATCACCTCAACAATCTCGGAGACCTAAGCGACAGACGCCAGAGGAGAGGGCAGAGATGGATGATTACCAGTCCTGGTGTCGCAGTTTGCCGAGCAGGTAGGCTTATTCTGACTTTAGCTGTGTTTGGTATTTTACATGTTGCATTGTCACAATACTCACTCTGACTTTTACTTATGTGTGCTAGTGTAGAAATGTGAAATAGTTGAGTGGCAGTGATGTCCCTTTGTAATGTGTTTGCTGGCATGGTAGATTAATTCTCAGTTAATGCAGAAGTTCAAGCCATCAAGATAGCTGTAGAGAAACTACTAAATACCGGAGTATGGGTATTTTTCACAACCAGGGCTATTCCTAACAGATGCAAAAGCGGTACTTCAGGCACTCCAGTCTGGAAAATTACCAAGTTTACGGACACTATTATCTGAACTAGGCAACTGTTGTAAGGTGGTTATGCAGTGGATACCATCCCACTGTGGAGTTTCCAGAAACGAAAGAGCTGATAAACTAGCTAAGGAAGGTGCAACTGAAGAACAACCCGACATACCAGTCTGTTATCAACAGAAAAAGAGAATAATCAAATCAATCAAAAAGTCACAGAAATTGGCACAAGGCGATTACCATATTATGGACAGACCAGAGCAAGTCATTATCCTTCGCCTTAAAACAGTGCAAAATTGACTTCGCTGCCACATGTACACAAATTGTAAGATTGGCGAATCAGCCATGTGTACCTGTGGACTGGCACCTGAAACAACAGATCACATCCTCCAAGACTGTCCCAGATTCAACGCTTCCAAGCAAAACTTCTAGCCAAAAGAGATACTTCGGGAAGTCAAACTTTTTAGGCCGCTTAGTGAATTACAAAAGACTGTGAAGTTCATACTAGAGACAGCATTGCAGATATAAATAATTTATTTCAAGCGAACGAAAGAAGAAGAATTCTCAGTATCAGTGACAGAACATTGGTATATGATCAAGGACGTTGACAGAAGAAAGAGTTAGTAAAAATGAATAGAAATAGGACTTTCTTCTAAAGATAATAGAAAAAAGAAAGAGGAGAGAGAAGGAGAATCAGAGATAGATAAAAGATGGAAAGAGAGAGAAAGTCATATCTCTTGCAGGTAATTCAGTCTATAGCTGGTCTGGCTTGAAGATTTCTTTCTTTAGCTGTTAAGTAAGTACTCACAATTATAAAGATATAGAGGACTTCCGTTTTCAAAATGGCGGACAGCAGCTGTGTTAATTGTCGCTGGCTGTCAATTCTCTCGGATTATTCTGTTCTATAATCATGGACTGCTATTTTATGCGCATTTCCAACGCAGGATATTATGTGTTTTTCGTGGGAACAGCGTGTATTGTGGTTGTGCTGTGTCGGGGCGGGATAATGACCGATAGTTTTGGCAGCCTCGACCACGCTGCCTTCGCAATGTTTTGATCGCGGCGGTCCACTCGGGAAGACAGAATCTCGTCAGCAGGGGACTGCAACTGTCTAGAGAGCAAACTCGATAAAAGCTGTCCCCAGAAACGGAATGTGTCAACCATATATTTGGTGGGGAGGAATCGACACATACGGTTAACTCAATGGCCATGCCATAAAGATATAAACATATTTCAATGGAGAAATTTCATAAGAATATCAAAGAAAGAAAGAAAATGGATACTATAGCAGAAAATAAGCAAATAATGTTAAAATAGATATTGTCGAAAAGAGCTGACCAAGAGGATGAAAGCTAAACCCTCTTCCCCAAGAAATCACGACACTGACACTTCTGATTGGGGCCTGTTCCTTGTAAATGTTAATGTTCTAACTGGTCTATAATGGTTTGTTTGCCAGGCATATAGTTAATGCTATTAACTATTAGGCTGTGTTCATTCCTGCCCATAGGGGGGCTGCGTGGTCTAGAATCATGGTGTCCGCCCCAAGTGCTAGAGGTTCCGATTTCAATTCCAGGTAAGGGCTGGGATTTTTCCATGTGGACTTGGATTTCTAGTTTAGTAATTCCCCCTGGTCTCTGGGTAGTGAAATCGGACACCAGTGAGCATTATTGCGCACATAAAAAATCCCCTGGCAGTTGGAAATCAAAAAGAGTAGCTGCCTGAGAAAAATTTGGTGTTAAAAATCTACCCAAAGTATTTCAGGATCCTCGCCAGGGCTACAGAGCCTGTGCACTTCGGAATCAGACTTGAGTTAAAAGAAGAACAGAGTACTTATGGGTTACTACCCGTGTGCCATGATGTTGATCCGGTGTTAAAAAAAACCTAAAACCTCAAATGCCAACCCATATGTTATGAGGTCAGGAGGGGAATACTAACTAAAAATTTTCCAGTAAGCCTCATTGATAGAAGCACTGGATCACGGCGTGAGTCATCGGATACATATGTTTTTAGGCCCTGGGGAATGTATTCCATTTAATGCTGTATTCAGTTCATGTTTACCGATGACCCCCTGCCTTCAACAAGCATGCTAATTAGTGGTAATTCCTTCAAGGTTGGAGTGCATCTGCCTGAGAGGCGAGGCACCAACAGTCTGCATACAAATAAACCAGACCTGTGAAGCAGATGCACACGCAAAAACTTAGGTTCTGGAACAAGACTAAAGTTCAGACATGGACGAACTACCAGAACTTTTTGCTGGAGTTTACTGCAGGTGAATGCGAAGAAGTGGAAGAAGAAGAGGATTGCTTCCTTTATATATCATTGTATATTGTGGGGACCAGTGAAAGTAAAGTCAAGGACACTTTTCCACGCCTTTTAAGCGTATTAGGTATATAGGGCTAGACATATATTTTATAGACCAGCGGCATAAGATGGGTGATGTGGTCAGCATCACGCCGGCCGCCTTTACTTCCCAGGACTACACCTGGTACCCACTCAAGGCTGGGTCAGCCTGGGAGCCAAGGTCATTTATGAAAAAAAGTTAGGCTCCTCCAGGGAGCAAACCCACGACCTTCCGATCCGCAGGCGAGCATCTAGCCGCTAAGCCACAGCGACTCCCGGGGACCAGTGCACAAACATAAAACAAATGTAAATGTATTGGTGACCTGTGTAAGATTGTAGTTTTTAAACAATTTGTTTTTGGAATTTCCACGGGCCCGTCACCGATTTGTTTTTTTAAGCATTATTGGGAGGAAAGGATTAATATCCTAAAGAATGTAAGGTAAACAGAATAAATAACTTAACATCTGTTTATGTAGGATAATTTGCGGGTGTTAATTAGTGATTAGAAAGGATTATCATCACAGCACTCCGGACAGATCCATAGGTGCTCCACTCTACTCCTCAAAAGCTCCACAAGTGTAAAACGACTGATGACGCCTGTTTTGTGTTGGTTAATGAGACGTCTGGGCCTCTTGGTGAAATGTTCATTTCATGCAGCTCCAGGCTGCATCCCCATGTCCATCAGTCTAGATAGGGAGATGGAGTCCTGTCCTGTGATAAGTGCAGCGCATAGCATTGATAACATCACTTCTGTCCAGTACTGGGCCAGCCATAGCAACTGCAGTGTCAGCAAGATAATTTTCACGCTAGTTCCCTTGAACACCCGCATGACCTGGCACAAAGATGAAGGTTATGGCAGATATTCATAAAGTGCTTAGTGTTTCAATCCATTCTTGCCTGATAAATCCAGCTTTAATTTTTTTTAAGCATATTCATCGAGTCACTAAAAACGCAAACGTGTGTGAACTTTTGAGTACCAAGCCGGCAGTTAATTGATGCAATTTAACTAATGTTGTTCCCTTCTGGCTATCCTAGTTACAGTCCCAGAACTGTGGAAATGTTGCTCAACTTTGACTACAGCAGGATCAACCTTGACCTGATTCACCACATCATCAACTTCATCTGTAACCACATGGGGGTGAGTAGGTTTCCGTTCTCCACGGCCTCTGTTTCACATTATACTTTCCCAGAGGAGAGTTCATAAGGGGAATCGCTAAATAAATAAATCTAACTTTCTGACACCATGAAAAGTTATCAAACCAGTTGTGAAGGAGAACTAGTCAGCTTTACAATATCACAATCACAAACGACAAGGGAACATTGTGGCCTCAGAGCCTTTATCCTGATGATGAATTCTTAGGTTTTATCATCATCATGTTAAAACAGGTAGTCATGGTTTGTCTGCTCACTTGATAACCATAATTTTTGCTCAGGTCCCATCCATGTTGTATGGTTACACCCAAGTTGTGTGGTCCCACCCATGTTGTTTTCTCCCATCCATGTTGTATGGTCACACCCAAGTTGTGTGGTCCCACCCAAGTTGTGTGCTCCCATCTATGTTGTGTGGTCCCATCCAAGTTGTGTGGTCACATCCATGTTGTGCGGTCCCATCCATATTGTGTGGTCCCATCCATGTTGTGTGGTCCCATCCATGTTGTGTGCTCCCATCCATGTTATGTGGTCACACCCATGTTGTGTGGTCCCACCCATCTTGTGTGGTCCCATCCATGTTGTGTGGTCCCATCCATGTTGTGTGGTCCCATCCATGTTGTGTGGTCACACCAATCTTGTGTGGTCCCATCCATGTTGTGTGGTCACACCCTTGTTGTGTGATCACAACCATATTATGTCATCCCACCCATGTTGTGTGGTCCCACCATCCAGATATCTGTCTTCTTGTCTTCTCCTGACTCCTTTCCCATCTCATGCTTATGGATGTTTCATTGTTTCGGTTTCAACCTATTGGTGACAGTTTAGGCAATCTTTTTCAGGAAGGAGCCATTTTGGTGTTTGTACCAGGTTGGGAGGAGATCCGAAAGCTTCATGAGATGATCCAAGCATCTGCCAGGTGTAAATCAGGTGTGTATATTTGTTTACACATGACACTGTCTGTACAACTAGAACACCTGGCGCAGGTATGCGTCGCAAATATGTCAACATCGACAGGCTTTGTATAGTCTTGTGTTCTTACTAATTTGTAATTGAGATACTTTAGATTGTATTCGGATGTGTAGTGTTTGAGGAAAAATACTAGTTTCCATTCTGATATGCAGTGAAGGTTAGAGAAGTACAAGAAAAATGCATCAATAAGAAAGTCTCAAAATCCCTTATGATGTGATCAGCATCATAATGGCCGCCTTTACATCCAGGTTATTTCCTGGTTCTCATTTTAGTCTGGGTCGACCAGGGAGCCTGTCAGTTTGTTCAGTTTTCATTGATGTAGAATCGAACCTGTGACCACAAAGCTGACAAGCAAGCCTGGTAGCCATTGTGCTACCATGGTGACTTGTCTCTTTTTCTTCAACTACGCTTTTGTGTTTCATCTTGATATTCATAATATGCATATTATTATATGAACATAACGTGCTTTATTGATAAAATACAAATTCTGTGTGAAAAATTGGTGTTTGGAAGGGCCAAATTTAAGTCTGGCCTGCATGCCCAATTTGTGACCCTTTGAAAATAAAGCTTGCTCATTCGTTCATTCATTTATTAGCCCTTTATCCCCCAGTGGAGCATAGGTCCTCAGTGAACTCACACCAGGTTGTCCTTTTCTTTGCTATTACACACAGCTCACCCCAAAACTTTCCTCATCTTTTTAACTTCACTGTCTGTATGTTTTTTTAATTTATCTTTATTTCTATGACCTTGTGGGTTCCAGTTTAAAGCCCTTCTAGTTATATTATTCTGAGGTTTTCTCAGTGTGTCTTATCCAACAGGAGTATCTTTTCCACAATTCTGATGACATGTGCTGTATTAATAACATTGACAAATGTTAAATGACAGTGTGAAATCATTGACAGACAACATGTGTCATCTTGATAACATTGACATATGAAGTGTAACAGTTTGAAATGATGACAGATAAGTTTGAATATTTTCTAAAGTGCTCCTCTCTTCCAGGCTGCCTGCGGGTGATCCCCCTCCACTCCCTGATGCCGACTGTCAACCAGAGGGAAGTCTTTGACCGACCTCCCCCAGGGGTCCGGAAAATTGTGATTGCAACCAACATTGCTGAGACAAGGTATCCCAGGGTGACTTGTGGGGGGCATATAGAACTTTTGTTGTAAGGGTGTGTGTTGCCTCTGGTAGAGTGGCAGCAGAGTCACCCTATTCTGTGTGAGTCCGTGGTTCCATCGCTCAGGAAGCATGTAGCCACCGGGATATTGTTAGAAAATAAAGATGTTGGGTCTGTAGATGGGAGTGTGAAGGGTATCTAGGTAGGTGGTGAAATACCAGAGTAAAACAAGAATAAAATATATGTCTGTTGTGTACAGTAACAGGCTGTGAGATAGCCATGCACTGCAGGATAAGCAAGATTAGATTATTTCAATTTGCCTCTACATACCGGTGTAGAAGAGGCAAGACCAAATGTTATGATGTTATCATTGTCTCATCTCGCATATGCAGTGATGGCAGGAGCTGTTCAGAAGGACACAGTGCTTAGCCTGCCTCCTGTCTTTCTTGGATATTTCATAGGTTCTAGTCTGCAGTTGCCATGTTACACATACTGTTTCTTTATCCTTTTTTCCTGGGCATTAGGTTTAATTTGTTAACAGCAAATTGTCAGCAGTCTGGCGAGGAAATCTGGTGAAATCACCATTAATGACTTTTTGCATTATTGTGTTGTGTGAAATCACCATTGATAATGTTTTGCATTCTTGTGTTATATGAATCACCAGCATCATCACCATTGATAACTTTTTGCATTCCTGTATTGTGTAAAGCCGCCTTTGATGACTTTTTGCATTCTTGTGTGAAATCACCATTGATGACATGATACATTCTTATGTGGTCTAAAACCTGTGTTACACACTGCCAGCATCACCATTGATGATGTCGTCTTTGTGGTGGATTGTGGGAAGATCAAGCTAAAGAGCTTTCAGCCAGAGATGAACTTGACCTGTCTGCAGGCTCAGTGGGAGGCCAAGGCCAACGCTAAACAGAGAAAGGGCAGGGCTGGCAGGTAAGGGTGGCTTCAGTCACATGATTTATTGTATAGAACACCTTTATTGTTTGTTATTTGGTAATGTTATCTTTTATTGATGAGACTGAGTTAGGAGGACATAACTGTTAAACATGTCACCGCCAAGTGTCAGTATGAGGCTGAGTTAGGAGGATATAACTGTTAAACATGTCACCGCCAAGTGTCAGTATGAGGCTGAGTTAGGAGGATATAACTGTTAAACATGTCACTGCCAAGTGTCAGTATGATGAGGCTGAGTTAGGAGGATATAACTGTTAAACATGTCACTGCTAAGTGTCAGTATGAGACTGAGTTAGGAGGATATAACTGTTAAACATGTCACTGCCAAGTGTCAGTATGATGAGACTGAGTTAGGAGGATATAACTGTTAAACATGTCATTGCCAAGTGTCAGTATGATGAGACTGAGTTAGGAGGATATAACTGTTAAACATGTCATTGCCAAGTGTCAGTATGATGAGACTGAGTTAGGAGGATATAACTGTTAAACATGTCATTGCCAAGTGTCAGTATGAGGCTGAGTTAGGAGGATATAACTGTTAAACATGTCACTGCCAAGTGTCAGTATGAGGCTGAGTTAGGAGGATATAACTGTTAAACATGTCACTGCCAAGTGTCAGTATGAGACTGAGTTAGGAGGACATAACTGTTAAACATGTCACCGCCAAGTGTCAGTATGATGAGACTGAGTTAGGAGGATATAACTGTTAAACATGTCACTGCCAAGTGTCAGTGTGAGACTGAGTTAGGAGGACATAACTGTTAAACATGTCACCGCCAAGTGTCAGTATGATGAGACTGAGTTAGGAGGATATAACTGTTAAACATGTCACTGCCAAGTGTCAGTATGAGACTGAGTTAGGAGGATATAACTGTTAAACATGTCATTGCCAAGTGTCAGTATGATGAGACTGAGTTAGGAGGATATAACTGTTAAACATGTCACTGCCAAGTGTCAGTATGATGAGACTGAGTTAGGAGGATATAACTGTTAAACATGTCACTGCTAAGTGTCAGTATGAGGCTGAGTTAGGAGGATATAACTGTTAAACATGTCACTGCCAAGTGTCAGTATGATGAGACTGAGTTAGGAGGATATAACTGTTAAACATGTCATTGCCAAGTGTCAGTATGATGAGACTGAGTTAGGAGGATATAACTGTTAAACATGTCACCGCCAAGTGTCAGTATGATGAGACTGAGTTAGGAGGATATAACTGTTAAACATGTCATTGCCAAGTGTCAGTATGAGGCTAAGTTAGGAGGATATAACTGTTAAACATGTCATTGCCAAGTGTCAGTATGATGAGACTGAGTTAGGAGGATATAACTGTTAAACATGTCATTGCCAAGTGTCAGTATGAGACTGAGTTAGGAGGATATAACTGTTAAACATGTCATTGCCAAGTGTCAGTATGATGAGACTGAGTTAGGAGGATATAACTGTTAAACATGTCACTGCCAAGTGTCAGTATGAGGCTAAGTTAGGAGGATATAACTGTTAAACATGTCATTGCCAAGTGTCAGTATGATGAGACTGAGTTAGGAGGATATAACTGTTAAACATGTCATTGCCAAGTGTCAGTATGAGACTGAGTTAGGAGGATATAACTGTTAAACATGTCATTGCCAAGTGTCAGTATGATGAGACTGAGTTAGGAGGATATAACTGTTAAACATGTCATTGCCAAGTGTCAGTATGATGAGACTGAGTTAGGAGGATATAACTGTTAAACATGTCACTGCCAAGTGTCAGTATGAGGCTGAGTTAGGAGGATATAACTGTTAAACATGTCATTGCTAAGTGTCAGTATGAGGCTAAGTTAGGAGGATATAACTGTTAAACATGTCATTGCCAAGTGTCAGTATGAGGCTAAGTTAGGAGGATATAACTGTTAAACATGTCATTGCCAAGTGTCAGTATGAGGCTAAGTTAGGAGGATATAACTGTTAAACATGTCATTGCCAAGTGTCAGTATGAGACTGAGTTAGGAGGATATAACTGTTAAACATGTCATTGCCAAGTGTCAGTATGATGAGACTGAGTTAGGAGGATATAACTGTTAAACATGTCACTGCCAAGTGTCAGTATGATGAGACTGAGTTAGGAGGATATAACTGTTAAACATGTCACTGCTAAGTGTCAGTGTGAGACTGAGTTAGGAGGATATAACTGTTAAACATGTCACTGCCAAGTGTCAGTATGAGACTGAGTTAGGAGGACATAACTGTTAAACATGTCACTGCCAAGTGTCAGTATGATGAGACTGAGTTAGGAGGATATAACTGTTAAACATGTCACTGCCAAGTGTCAGTATGAGACTGAGTTAGGAGGACATAACTGTTAAACATGTCACTGCCAAGTGTCAGTGTGAGACTGAGTTAGGAGGACATAACTGTTAAACATGTCACCGCCAAGTGTCAGTATGATGAGACTGAGTTAGGAGGATATAACTGTTAAACATGTCACTGCCAAGTGTCAGTATGAGACTGAGTTAGGAGGACATAACTGTTAAACATGTCACTGCCAAGTGTCAGTATGAGACTGAGTTAGGAGGACATAACTGTTAAACATGTCACTGCCAAGTGTCAGTGTGAGACTGAGTTAGGAGGACATAACTGTTAAACATGTCACTGCCAAGTGTCAGTGTGAGACTGAGTTAGGAGGACATAACTGTTAAACATGTCACTGCCAAGTGTCAGTGTGAGACTGAGTTAGGAGGACATAACTGTTAAACATGTCACTGCCAAGTGTCAGTGTGAGACTGAGTTAGGAGGACATAACTGTTAAACATGTCACTGCCAAGTGTCAGTATGAGACTGAGTTAGGAGGACATAACTGTTAAACATATCACTGCCAAGCGTCAGTATGAGACTGAGTTAGGAGGACATAACTGTTAAACATGTCACTGCCAAGTGTAAGTATGAGACTGAGTTAGGAGGACATAACTGTTAAACATGTCACTGCCAAGTGTCAGTATAAGACTTAGTTAGGAGGACATAACTGTTAAACATGTCACTGATAATTGTCAGCCCTTTTGAGTTGTTTTTTTCTTATGCAGGTTGCAGGACCGTTGGGGGGGGGGGGGGGGGGGGGGGAGATTAGATCAACTGCCCTCCTAACATGTCACAAGAATTGACTAATTAGGAGTTTCTTGTCAGATTGCATCTGCCGGAGGGGCAAGGAACCAACAGTCTGCATACAGTTAAAGCCAGATTTGTAAAATGGATGTGCACACAAAACTCAATTACTGAAAACAAGACTTAAGTCCAGAGATAGATGAACAGCCAGAGTTTACAGCCGGTGAATGAGAAGTTATTTGAACTTATTGTGAATTACTAAGCAACTAGGGAGTCAATGGACAAAAGACATTAGGAAACATTCATTTCACTTCATCATTGTTGACATTTGTATGAAATAAATATTGTCATCTGCAGTCAGTTAGTAAATGTTCTGTGTACTTATGTCAAATTTTAGTTCAGTTTTGCTAGTTACTTTAGGACCTCATATTCTGCCATTGCAGTATTTGAAATCATACCCAGAGTTTGGAAATGTTAGGCTCACATGACTTCCATGCCACACATCCCCAACAGAAAGTCAGTGTTATTGCATCACTGGACAACGATGACAATGTAGAGCTGCAGATGTTACTGCATGACTTTATTAACTCTTTGAGTCCCAAGGAACGTATCATACATTCATAGGTTCCTACCTAGAAGCCCAATGAGCGCATGATGCGCCGATTTTATTACTTTCTTTACTACCCCCTGGGCCTGTAATGCTAAACCCCCTGGGACTCAGAGAGTTGAGCACATAAGATCCAGTGTGGATTCTGGGAAAACCTGTACCCACTGCTCCTCAACAAACATTTGTAAAAGACAACTAATTAAGGACTTGATAGAATGACTTGCAGTGCAGTAACATGCACAGACACGTATACTGTACCCACCATGCGCAACAAAGCAAATTATGCTCAGCATAGCTTTTATAAGGACAGGTATGTGACACATGTAGAAAATCCATGATTACCAAATATTGACACCATCTGTCTACAGGGTACAAGCTGGCCACTGCTTCCATCTATTCACCAAGTTCCGCTACAATTTGTTCCCTGACTACCTGCCGCCAGAAATGTTACGCACCAGGTTGGAGGAGCTCTGTTTGCAGATTAAGGTACATCTTTGGTCACATCTGGTCATCTGTGGTCACATCTTTGGGCAGCTATTTTCATCTGGCCATCTTTGATCACATCTAGCCATTTGTGGTCACCTCTGGCCATCTTTGGTCAAACTCTGGTCATTTGTGGTCACATCTTTGATCACCTCTGATCATCTGCTCACATTGGGTCATCTTTGATCACATCTAGCCATCTTTGGTCACCTCTGGTCATCTTTGATTATATGTGGTCATCTTTGTCACCTCTGGTCATCTTTGATTATATGTGGTCATCTTTGGTCACCTCTGGTCATCTTTGATTATATGTGGTCATCTTTGGTCACCTCTGGTCATCTTTGATTATATGTGGTCATCTTTGTCACCTCTGGTCATCTTTGATTATATGTGGTCATCTTTGGTCACCTCTGGTCATCTTTGATTATATGTGGTCATCTTGGTCACCTCTAGTCATCTTTGATTATATGTGGTCATCTTTGTCACCTCTGGTCATCTTTGATTATATGTGGTCATCTTTGGTCACCTCTGGTCATCTTTGATTATATGTGGTCATCTTGGTCACCTCTAGTCATCTTTAATCACAGCTTATCAGTAGAATTAGCCTTAGATTTTTTAGGCTGCAAACACTGGAACTCTCAGCAGTATTTTTGGTGAAAATCAGTTCAAAATTAAGTCTATTGTTTCAGTGCTAACTTATCATTAATGTTATGATGTCTAGATACATCGAATCATATTGTCATGAATCAGTATGTCAGGAAATAAAATCTCTGCCCTCAGAACAATCCCAAATGTGCTGTTTCTATTTAACTTGAAGACTGCCTATCTGTGTCTCTTTGCATTATGTGTCCTCCAAGAATTGAATTATTGTATGATTGCTGCTCCTTGCTCTGGTTGAAAAATTGTTGATTGTTTTTGCATTTATAGCTGCTGCACCTGGGTCAGATTGTCCCGTTCATTAGCAAGGCCATGCAGCACCCACCCATGGAGGCAGTCACCCATGCCATCACTACTCTCAAGGAAATGGTAAGAATAACCCGGCTCAATCTGTTGAAGACACAACTTTCTATGAGTGTATGTGTTATTGAGCCTGTGCACCTCTAGTGCATGCGACTTTGTATCTAGCTCTTTATATGTGTGTGTTGTCTGTATGTTTTGCATCTGGCTGCGTATGTCTTGTGTACATTTATCTGTCTGCCTGCCTACAGTGTCTGTCAGTATGTCTGTGTGTATGCATATCTATATATGTATGTATGTATATATGTAATACTGTTGGCTTTCCTTGTATAATTCTGATCATATATGTAATACACTGTATGTTTGACCATTCTCTGATACCTTACTGACTATTCTGTAATACTACTGACCTTTTTTAATACTGTTGATCATTATGTATAAAGGCAGGGAAGAACATAAAAACAACTCGGAACTAACAGCAGAGGAACTAGAACCAGGTATATTATTGGATGAAGTAAAATATGTCATTCGAACTGCCCCTAGACTAAAGGCGACAGGTATTGATGATCTACCAGCTGAGGCCATCAAGGCAGCAGGAGAAACCGGAGCAATGTGGTTGAAGAGAATATTTCAGGTGGCATGGGAAAATCAAGAAACACCATCAGATTGGCAGACTGCTGTCATTGTCCCGCTGTGGAAAAATAAAGGAAGAAAGAGGGAATGTACTAATTACAGAGGAATATCACTTTTCAGTCACACTGGGAAAATGTATGCTAAGATCATCGAAAAAAGGCTGAGACCATTGATAGAGTATCAACTTTCAGAAGCACAGATGGGCTTTCGACGAAACAGAAGTTGCACAGATGCCATTTATACATTGAGACAACTATCAGAGAGGGCAATAGAACATGATAAGACATGTTTGTTGACATTCATAGACCAAGAAAAAACCTTCGATAGAGTCGACAGGAATATGTTGTGGGAATGTATGGGAAAAAAAGGAATCAGCAATCATCTCATTAATATTTGCAAAAGCCTGTACACACGTAGTAAATGCTGCATAAGATCGAAGGCAGGGTTGTCAAGAACTTTTATAGTGAACTCTGGTGTGCGTCAGGGCTGTGTACTATTGCCGCTTCTTTTTATAACATACATGGATACCATATGTAGCGAAACGAACTTTAATCATGAAGAAGATATTACAGAATTACTTTTGGCCGACGACCAGGTACTCATAGCAGAAAATATGGAATGCCTACAGAACCACCTAAATCAAATTAGTAACAAAGGGGAGGAATATAATATGAAAATAAACACTACGAAGACAGAGACAATGATCATAGGAAGACATAAAGACAATTTAGAAATTAAATTAAAAAACAACACCCTGAGACAAACAGATGAATTTAAGTATTTGGGAGCAATTTTTACATCTGACGGAAAACTGGACAGAGAAATTAGCTCCAGATGTGCCAAAGCTAATCAAGTAATGGGTCAACTATCTCCCCTGTTGACACACAAGCAGATACCTCGGAGTACTTCTTCTTCTTCAGCGATCTCTGGTCATGCGCATAATCCACTGTGGGTCATAAACTGGGATGTCTTTTCAAGGTCTCTTAGGTTTCCCCAAAGCTTAGTTGTCAGTTCTACTGGGTGTTGCCATATGTCGCTCCGCAGCTCCGCCAGGAGAGGACAGTCTTGCAGGACATGTTCTGGAGTCTGTTCAGCACGAAGGCACCGGCAGAGAGCTGTTTGGCTCATACCTAATTTATGTGAGTGTTTATTGAGTCTGCAGTGTCCAGTGCGTAAGCGAAAAACTGTGACTTGGTCTGTTCTGTTCAAGTGCCTCAGAAAATCTTTTCCGTAGTCATAACCAGTGTTGTTTTTCCAGTCTGTTTCTGATTTTCTTTTAATGAGAGTTTTGACTTCTGGAAAAGATAGTGGCTGGTAGGTCTGTAGTTTGTTACTGCCTTCCTTGGCTAAAGCATCTGCGCTTTCATTGCCTTTGATGCCGCAGTGAGACGGAATCCACTGCAAGTGAATTTCTGCCTTATTTGACAACATAGCAAGTTCCTGTGTTATACTTTGTAGTGTGCTGTCGGTAGGTTTGGACTCAAGGGCCTGTACAGCTGACAGTGAGTCAGTGAGAAAAACTATCCTGCCTGCGGTGATTTGCAGATTGTTTCTTATACTGTGCTGCCATCAATAGAGCTGAGAGTTCTGCCTTGTAGCTAGAGCAAGTTCGTCCGGTGGGGGCTGCTAGGGACACAGTAGTGGCATCTGGGTGTTTTATGTAGACACCTGCCCCACCATTCGTAGTTGCCTCTTTTGCTGATCCATCCGTGTAGATTCTTGTCCAGCTGTCCTGTGGGAACATGTTGTTGAGGTGTTCCATTGTGAGTGCTTTCTTCACTAAAGCGGGCTCAGCATCTTTGTTTCCCAGGTTCAGGATGGATGTTGACACATTGAGTGTCAATAATTCGGAGTCCCAGAGATCGAAAGATAGCTCTTCAGGTGTACATTGTTGGTTAAGTAGTGAAGAGAATGACTTTCCAAATTCCTTCGTTAGATGGTTTAGGCTTGTGCGCTTTATTCTGTTTTTTGTCCTGGCTGCCAATTTTTCGTGTAATGGGTGGTTTAACATTCTCTTCATTTTTTCAGCATGTAGAATTGCTTTTGTCCTTCTTCTTTCTTCTAAGGGGATGATGTTGGCTGCTTTTTCCATTTCTACAATAGGTGTAGATTTTATGGCTCCCAGAATTGTACGCAGACTTCTATTTTGCGTTTTGTCTAGTATCTGTTTATTGGAATGGGCTGCTGTTATCCATGACGATGATGCGTATTCGAGAGTTGGTCTGACTGTGCCGGTGTATACCTGCTTCAAGATACAACTGTCTGCTTCCCAAATGGTGCCTGCCAATTTCTTCATCACACCTTGTTTTCTCATGGCTTTTTTGTTAGTTTCTAGTATGTGATGTTTCCATGTCAGACGACTGTCAAGCTTGACTCCCAGGAAGGTTGGAGTATTGGAGCGTGGAACAGCATCATTCTTGAATTTTAATGTAAACTTTTCCTCCTTTGTAGACAATGAGAAGAGTGTTGCTACAGTTTTGCCTCGGAATACTAAAGTAAATCTTACCAAAACTATTTTTTGGCCAACACTATGCTATCAATGCCAAATGTGGACACTTACATCCTCCAATGAACGTAAAATTGTGACAACAGAGATGAAATGCCTTAGAAGAGCTGCAGGAGTTTCAAGGAAAGACAGAACACGAAATCATGAAATCAGACGAATGCTAGGAATAAAGCCAGTCTTACAGGTCATTAAAGAACAACAAATGAAGTGGTTTGGACACCTAACAAGAATGCCCTGGTACTATCCGCCACAGCGAGCCACACTAAAATGTTACAATGCGTATAGAGCGAGTGGAAGACCTCGGAAAATATGGAGTGATGGCATTAAGAACAGCCTTACAGAAATGAACATCAGTCTTAATAGTTCTCTTGACAGAGCTCATCAACGAACATTACATCTCCCCCCGACACTTCGATGAGGTACAAGGTGGAAGAGAAGAAGAAAAAGAAAAAGATCATTATGTATTGCTATTGACTATTCTGTAATACTATTTATTATTCTATAATACTGTTGACCATTCTGTAATATTATTGAAAAGTCTAAAATACTGTTGCTATTCTGTAATAATATTGAACAGTCTAAAATACTGTTGACCATTCTGTAATAATATTGAACAGTCTATAATACTGTTGACCATTCTGTAATATTATTGAAAAGTCTAAAATACTGTTGCTATTCTGTAATAATATTGAACAGTCTAAAATACGGTTGACCATTTTGTAATAATATTGAACAGTCTATAATACTGTTGACCATTCTGTTATATTATTGAAAGGTCTAAAATACTGTTGACCATTCTGTAATATTATTGAATGGACTATAATACTGTTGACCATTCTGTAATATTATTGAACAGTCTTTAATACTTTTGACCATTATTTAATACTGTTGAAAAGTCTATAATACTGTTGACCATTCTGTAATATTATTGAAAAGTCTAAAATACTGTTGCTATTCTGTAATAATATTGAACAGTCTAAAATACGGTTGACCATTTTGTAATAATATTGAACAGTCTATAATACTGTTGACCATTCTGTTATATTATTGAAAGGTCTAAAATACTGTTGACCATACTATAATATTATTAAATGGACTATAATACTGTTGACCATTCTGTAATATTATTAAATGGACTATAATACTGTTGACCATACTATAATATTATTAAATGGACTATTATACTGTTGACCATTCTATAATATTATTAAATGGACTATAATACTGTTGACCATTCTATAATATTATTAAATGGACTATAATACTGTTGACCATTCTGTAATAATTCCGTTTTTTTTTTTTAATGCTGAAGCCACTGTAGATGATGTTTGAGTGCTCCCAAAATAATCTTGATATATGCCAGGTTTCTAATCAGTCTCATGCCATTTTTTAAAACACAGAATGCCCTAGACATGGATGAGAACCTGCTGCCTCTTGGGTACCACCTGGCCAGGATGCCTGTGGAACCACACACTGGGAAGATGGTTCTCTTTGGTGCCATGTTCTGCTGCCTTGACCCGATCTTAACCGTTGCGGCTAGTCTCAGCTTCAAGGATGCATTTGTTATACCTCTGGTAACACACATTTCACATTTACAATTTATTTATGAAATAGAATATCTCCCAGCGGTCAAACATCCAAAGACTGTGATGAGGGTTACAGACAAATAACAGATAGCAGTTTTTTTTTTAAACATTTTGTTTTCAGTGAAAAACTGACCTTTATCCACATCCAGCCTGGTCAAGTCTGAGATCTTCTTTGCGCTTGGTTTCATATACTCAGATCAGACCATTAGCTGGGTTGCCTCTATGAACTCGCATATCAGTAGCAGGTCCTTTATGATTCCCCATAGCTTGCTCTGCACACTTTGCTCTTGAGGCCAGGTGTCCTTTAGAAGTTGTAGGCAGAGTGGGCCGGTCTGCAGAATGTGCTCAGCTGTTTGGGTTCCTGTCTGACAGGCACACTGTGGGGACTGTACAAGCTTTATTTTATGCATGTGGTAGCTGTGCCTGCAGTGACCTGTTCGTTGGCAGAAGATTGTTGTATGTTGCTTTTTGTTGAGTCTGCTGATAAACTCTTGTAGATTTTTACTGTTAGTTTGTTCTCCCGACGATTCCTTGTATTTTCCCTTGATAAGTGTTCTGATTTCTGGTAATGACAATGAATAGGTATGTTGTTTCTCCTTTGTTCCATTTTTAGCAAGTGTGTCTGCTAGCTCATTTCGTGGTATGCCGCATTGAGCTGGGATCTACTAGAGAACGATCTGTCTTCTGTGAGTCTGTTCTTTTTCCATGTTGTCTCGTGGATCCCTATGAGTCGCCTGGATCCCTATGAGTCGCCTGGATCCCTATGAGTCGCCTGGATCCCTATGAGTCGCCTGGATCCCTATGAGTCGCCTGGAGGAGTGACATGCAGTCACAAAAGAAGACAATTTTGCTGTTTTTAATTTTTTTTTTTTTCAAAAAGCACTTTGGCTGAATCAATAATTGCTTGCTGCTCTGCTCTGAAGTTTGTTGAGAGTCTTCTGGAGGCACATGATGTTTCTACTGTGGTCCCATCTTGCAGCATGATGACCGATCCAGCTCCTCCAGTTTTTTTTTTCCTGCTGCCACCAGTGATCCACCGGTGTATACGTTTGTCCATTCGGGTTTTGGATAACAGTTGTAAATGTGTTCAAGGGTCTTTGCGTGCAGTACTAGGCCACATTCTTCAACCTTTCTGACTATGCCTGGAATTGTTGTTATGACTGTACAGTTAGGCTGTTGGTCTATGCTGTATGCCTGGATCATTTCCCACGTTGAAGAATCTTTAGAGAGGACGTCACTGTTTTTTGCATAGTACAGTTTTCATAGATGGTGAAAGCTTTGTCTTTTCAATCGGTTTTACGTTAAGTTGTTTGCCATTCTGAGCCTGGAGTTGTTGTTTATGCATTTAAATTTCTGTGTTAGGGTAAGCACCTTTTCTTCCCTCTGAAGGTTCAAGCTCTGGAGGCCACAGGTTGCCTCCAGCTCATTAATTGGTATGCTTCTCATACCTCCAGTGATGATTCTGAGACGAGTGTTCTGTATTTTGTCCAGTTTGTGAAGTTTGATTTGCCTGCAGTGGAGTATGCTCCCGTGCCATTCTCCAGTTTTGGTCGTACGTATCCTGTGTATACTTGTCATATAGTCTTGGCATCTGCACCCCAGCTTGTTCCAGCAAGTTTCTTCATAAGTCTGAGCCTCAGGGTAGCTTTCCTTTGGGTGTCTTCAATGTAGGGGCCCCAGGTTAGCCTTTTGTCAAATTTTACTCCCAAATGTGTGGGGTTATCCTCTTTTGGAAGGATGTTGCCTTCTAGGTACAGATCAACGTGTTCTGGCTTTGTGGAAAGAGAGAATAAAGTTGAGACGGTTTTGGTCTGGTTTATTGTGACTCCCCAAGAGTCTGTCCATTTCTTAACTGTATTTATAGCTTCCTGCATTCTTGTTTTAGTTGTTCCTATATGTTCAGCTTGGATCCATATGGCCAGGTCATCTGTGTGTAGCGCCTTGTGAATGTGAGTCATGAACTGTTTTGGGAGGTCATTGATTAAAAGGATAAACAGGGTAGGAGATATAACACCTCCCTGGGGGGCATCTTCTTGTAACTTGACCAGCTTGCTCTTTTGTGTTCTTTCTGTCTGACTTTCGCACAGCATCTGTAAAGAGAGTCTCTAATCCAGGCAAATATATACGCTTTTATTCCACTGTGTGCTAGTTTAAGCCAGAGTCCTTTCTTCTAGACCTTATCAAAGGCTTTGGTCAGGTCAAATAAAGTAGCTAGCAGTTTGTATTTTTTTTTCTGGAAAGCATCTTCAAATTCCTGTGCAAGATAAGAGGTTAGATCATTAGTGTTTCTGTATCTCCTGAAGCCTGATTGGCTGTCATCCAGTATGTTGTTTTCTTCCAGGAAATTAAGTAACCTGTTGTTCACTAATCTTTGCGTGGTCTTTCCAAAGCAGCTTAGGGGGCTTATGAGGTGGTAACTAAATTTGTTTTTCTTGGGCTTTCCTATGGGGACTATTTCTGCCTCCTTCCATTCCTTAGAAAATAGTCCCTGGATCCAGGATTTATTTATAAGGTCTAAGAGTTGTTGCCTACCAGCTGGTCCTAAGTGTACTATTATTTCATTTGTTATTCAATCAGGTCTAAGTGCCTTCCTTTTTTTTAAGGTTTCTTAATGCGCATTCAAGTTCTTGGGACTGAAGAGTTTATTCATTATATCTTGGTTATCTTCTTGCTTTTTTCCTCTGCAAAACTATCAGCCAGCAGGTTTGCTGCTTGTTTACCAATGAAAGTTTTCACACCATCTTCAGTTACAGTGTTGGCATGGCTGGTATGATTCACCTCATTTAGACTCTTTACTGGATGCCATAGCTTTTTACCATCTTTCTCCATCTTGTCCTGATGCATGTAAGTTTTTTTCTTCTATAAATAGCCTGATGTTTATTGTGTTCTGTTACATTGAGGTCAGAGTGATCTTGTTCCATTTTTACTCTTGCTACAGTGCTTCTTTGGTGCAGTTGTTGGGTCCAGAAGGGTTCATAGTCTTGCCTCTGACCTCGGGCTGGGGGGTGGGGGTTATTTTTGTACTGCTTTGAGTATGATACTGCTAAGTGCTGTGTTTTTTCTAACCTCATTAGTTGGAAAGGGCTCCAATAGCTTCTTTTCAGTTAAGTTTTTGTAGAGGTCCCAGTCTGCTTTCTTGTAGTTCCAGCTGGCTATCTTCTTCCTGTTTTCCGGTGGCCTGACCTCTCCTATACAGGTTTGTGATCAATTCCACCCAGCTGTTCCATCACTTCTCTGTCTGCCCTACGTTAGATGTTTTCTGTAGCTATAGCTAGGTCTGGTGTACTTTGTGATCGCCATTGTCTAGAGTAGAAGGTTGGTTCAGAGTCAGGTTCATTGATTAATATCAGCAGGTTTTCTACCCTCCATTCCTCTACCTCTTCTCCTATTGTGTCCATAGAAGCATAGCCCCAACTAGAGGGAGGACTTTAAAGTCGCTGAGAATTAGGTGCCTATCATCAGCTACAGGGATGTCCTCTAGTTCCAATAGATGTGAGATGAAATGCTGGAGAAAGGTTCTGGGTTTTCAGACAAGACAGAATGTGACATCACAGCATCAGAAAGGTTATAAATGTCATGTTATGCATGGAATTCAATGACAGACAGTAAAATGATTTGGACATTTTGCTAGAAAGAGTCTTTGTCAGCTGTTGAGAAGAACATACTCTGCAAAGATCAACATATTGAACTAGAAAAAGACCAAAGGAAATTAAAAGCAGATATCCTCAAAGATTCACTAAACAAATAGGGAAACAACATAAACAGGGTATTACATTTGGCTTTGGAACACAATTTTTTTAAACTCTCGCTAGCTCCCTTCTCCATGTTTTTTTGGGGGGGTCATCCTTTATTTCTGTGCCCCTGTGGGTTCCACTGTGAAGACATTCCAGTTAAATTTTCTGAACATGTGTCCTATCTATCGCCAGCGTCTTTTCTCCACCTAATGGTCCACTGGAACTTGTTTAGTTCTTTTCCAAAGCTCAACATTAGTGATTCTATCATGGCATTTAATTCGCTCTATTCTGTCCAGGCACCAGTTAATGAATGTTTGTAGTTAATTATTGTTCTTCATGTTTCTACTCCGTTGTAATTAATTACAATTAAAATATTTTTATAACAATTAATTTTTTTCTTATTTTTTGCTAGGGAAAAGAGGAACTGGCAGACAATGCTCGGCATAAACTGGCACAAGATAGCAAAAGTGATCATATTATGCTAATCAACACTTTTAAGGTCAGTTGAAAGTCAGAGGTCTTTTACTAGGATTTTCACCGAAGTTGTGTGCAGAAGTGTAAATTGTCATGCGTTCAGAAGTTCATAGGTCAGTTAGGCAATTGTGCCGTTTTTGAGGGTTAGATTTGGTGCTCTGGAGTCCATTAGCAAGGAAAGATGCATGATCAGCCTAATGCAGCCAGGTTGTAGGTGCTGGGTTTAATCCCAGCCTAGTGACTTGGACTTTTACAGATGTGAAGTTGCTCTGCCACACTTATGCATCCCACTGGTTTCTGCGACTTCTTGTCAATATGGAGGATAAGCCATTTATTTTTTTTAGTCGTGGCAAGTTGTTTCTTCTCATAACAGTTGGCCACATTTTCCTCCATGTATAGACTGAAAGGATATAATTTTATCACCCAGCTACTGAGTAAAATTGCACGATATCCTTAAAATCGCAGTGGACAGGGAACAGCTTCAGCATAAGGCCTTAGGAGATAGCAAGGAACAACGGCAGAAAAGAGGTGGCTTATGGATGACTCAAGCAGAAGTCACAATCATAATTGTTTGTGCTACTGACAAGATAGAGCATGGTAAAGAATGGGTTGCAGTACCACCCAGCAAAACAGATTTGCACAGAGTGATAAGTACATCGAACTGCGGGTGCTGGGAAAGAATAGCTGGTGAAACAGAGTCAGCGGTGCAAGAGCCGATCAATTAAAATGTATGCCTAGGTGACGTCATAATATATGCAGATGGGTCTGTGTGAGAGTTCAGAGGAGTGGGTGGGGTTTCATTGCAAAGCTGAATGGACACTGCTTGAAAACAGAGAGCCTTTTGTACAGCATCACTACATCCAGTATGAGAATGGAACAGCACAGTCTGACATGTTGTGACTGTAACAGACTCACAGAGCATGCTTCAGGAAAATTCAAACTGGTGTCCTGCAATCAGAGTGGCTTGCATCACTTGATAAGACCCAGTACAAGAGCATATCAAAGATTTTCTGTCCAGGATTTTGAGGTATGCATTCTAATGAGCAGGCTGATAGATTATCTGCTGTCGCTGCTTTGGGTGTTGAGTTACTGTACGATAAATTGGATGCAGTGAAGACTGTATAGGATGAAATGGACAGTGCAAAAGAACAGATAGGGAATCCATACTGAAGCATGTCAACTCTTCATTGGTTACTGAAGAAGGGGACGGAGCACATGTGGGAATGTCTTAAGTGCGGGGATGTTGATTCTTGATTCATTTATTCATTCTGGCATGACACTGTGAGTGCCGATTTTATTTGGAATGCTTTTCAGCTGTTCCCAATGATGTTTGGATTGTGAACTTCAGATTTAGAAAATGGTGGCCAGTGGCCTGTTGTGAGAGAACCGGTGATGTCTTATGTGATTAATCGTGCGTGCAAGTACTGATCTGTTTGTTGTAACTGCTGCCTCCATGCTGTTGAACTGCATTTCTAGTATTGGACTGTTTGTGTTGGCACTTCTCACTTATGCATTTAATGCGTGTGTATTCTATTGGATTTGCTGGGGCTGCAGTCTATGTCAACTTTTCCACAAGGGACGGCGATGGACATTCAGTAGGGTTTTCGTTGGCACAGGAATGGAACAGCTGTTTGCCTTGATGTTAGAACTACGATTACCTGATTACTAGTTTCTGAGCTGGAGTTTCTCGTGGCAAAGTGGGCAAGCTCTTTGCCTCGTGCTCTGAATATCATGGGTTCATTTGACTGATCAAATGTTGTGCCTACCTGTAGACTGATCAGATGTTGTGCCTTCTGCCAGGGCTGGGAGCAGAGTTTGCGCAGTGGGAGAAGCAGGAGCTACTGCTGGGACAACTTCTTGTCAGAGAACACCTTAAAGGTATGAGTGGCACCTTACATGTATGTGTGGTTTGTATGGTGTCTTAGAAAACAATGTACATGTATGTCTAGGTTGGGTGGTCCAGAAAATACCTTACCTGTATGTGTGGTTTGTTTGTTGAGTGTATTGTGTGTAAGTGTGGTTTGTGTCTTATCTTAAAGTGTGTATGTGTGGTTTGTGTCTTATCTTAAAGTGTAAATTGTGTGTATGTGTGGTTTGTGTCTTATCTTAAAGTGTATATTGTGTGTATGTGTGGTTTGTCTCTCATCTTAAAGAGTGCATTGTGTGTATGTGTGGTTTGTATGTTATCTCAAAGAGTGCATTGTGTGAATGTGTGGTTTGTATGTTATCTCAAAGAGTATATTGTGTGTAAGTGTGGTTTGTGTCTTATCTTAAGACGTATATTGTGAGTATGTGTGGTTTGTGTCTTATCTTATAGAGTATATTGTGTGTAAATGTGGTTTGTGTGTTGTCTTAAAGAGTATATTGTGTTAAGTATGGTTTTTATGTTATCATAAAAATTATATTGTGTGTATGTGTGGTTTGTATGTTATCTCAAAGAGTATATGATGTGTAATTGTGGTGTGTGTGTTGTCTTAAAGAGTGTATTGTATGTAAGTGTGGTTTATGGTTTGTCTCAGAAAGTACCTTACGTGAATGTTGGTTTGTGTATGTCCCCAGATGTTAAGAGACATGAAGAAGCAGCTGACGGAGCTCCTCTATGACCTTGGATTTGTGGCCAGCAAGAACCCTAAAGATGCCAGAGCAAATCTCAACAGTGGTAATTGTTGTACTGACTACGCGTGTGCACACATACACACAAACAACACACACGCTTGCCACAGCAGTGGTAATTGTTGTTCTGTCACACACACACACACACACAGACACACACACACACACACATACATACATGCACACATACACACAATAAATCTTAATATTGAAAATTGTTGTCCTACACATGCACAAACACACAGGCTTAAACAATCGTTATTGTTGAACTATATACACCTTTGAGTGTGCACGTGCACACACACACACACACACAAAACAAACACACACACACACAGACATAAGCACAAACACAAATTTCAAACGGGGTATTTGTTGTACTGTGTACAAATGCACACACAGCTGTACACATAGGCAGAGACGTGCACACAAAGTAGATCTCAAAGAGGTAATTGCTGTACTAAATGCACTTGCATACACCCATGCTTGCAAGCAGTAGTTTAGTCAATTATTGCAAGTTTAGTGAGGTCCAGTTAAATCATGCAACAGTCTGGGTAATTAATACAACAGTCTAGTCAATGAATGCAGTCATTCAGTCAATGAATGCAGTAATCCAGTCAGTTGATGCAACAATTCAGTCAGTTAATGCAACATTCTAGTCAATTATTGCATCAGTGTAGTCAGTTAATGCAGTTTTGTAGTCAATGCAACAGTCTAGTCAGTTACTGCAACAATCCAGTCAATTAATGCAGCAGTCTAGTCAGTTACTGCAACAATCCAGTCAATTAATGCAACAGTCTAGTCAGTTACTGCAACAATCCAGTCAATTAATGCAGCAGTCTAGTCAGTTACTGCAACAATCCAGTCAATTAATGCAACAGTCTAGTCAGTTACTGCAACAATCCAGTCAATTAATGCAATGGTCTAGTCAAATAATGCAACAGTGTGGTCAGTCCTGATAATGCATTTTTGTTTGTGTGTGTGAAAATTATGAGACAGATTTTTTCTACTGCACTGTAAAGTATAACTCGAGCAGTGGTGGAAGAAAGTTAGATTTGAGCCCATTTTTTTTTGGTTTGTTTTTTGTTTGTTTTTTGTTTGTTTGTTTGTTTTTTAAGAATATTTTCTATGTGTACAGATAACCAAGGACTTATTCGAGCCGTAATTTGTGCAGGCCTATACCCAAATGTTGCACAGATTATCAAAGTTCCTAAATCCGTCAGCAGGAAAAAGTCCACGTAAGTTGAATATAGACGTATAGACGAATAAAGATGTATTGCAGCATTTAATCACACAAAACGTGGCATCCATTCCCTTCATCTTTTGCTGGGAGAGAGTGAGCACTTATGAGCTTCTATTGTTTGCTGTCACATTTAGTCTCCATCATCCCTTTTTAGGGGGTTCTAGGACCCCATTTTAGGGACAAAAGAATCGACCCACTGCCTCCCTAACAAGCATGTCCTATAAGGTGACCAGTTAGAATAGCTTTCTTCAAAGTCGGAGTGCATCTGCCTGAGAGGTGAGGAACCAACAGACTGCAAACAAATAGGCCAGATCTGTAAAACAGATGTGCATGCAAAACCCAAGTTCTGGAAAAAGTGGAGTCTAGAAGTTAATGAACAACCAGAACTTTACAGCCGGTGAATGCCAAGAAGAAGATGTCTCCATCATAAATCCTCAAGGCACATTTGCCCATTAACAACTGGTACAGGATGAGATATGTAGGCACAGCATCTACCTCAGACTTGTGAAGACTGGGTTTGAATAAGTGTGGATTTGTATGAAATAAGGAACATAAGTCTCCTTACCGACTGTAGGGTTGTGACATGAATCTAGCCTAGATAAGGGAAAGAAACTAGAAGATCTCCTGTACATATTGCAACAAAAAGAACCCTTTTACATATTGTACACACTAAGTCAACCTACATTCACTACAGGAACTGGAAGAACCTATATGCACTTTGCAAGCATAAAAATAAAATTTAAAAAATCGTTGAGCAATTGGGGATTTAAAAGAGCAAGTTTGTTAGGCTAGCCAAGTTTATGGTTTTACAGATCTTTGTCATGTCCAGCTTTCAATACATTTTCCTACAGTCAACACAAAATTTTCTGCTCTAGATTTTATTATCCATATTTTATGGAGAACGCTCAACATCATAACAATATTTCATGCTTTTTTTTTTCTTTAAATGTATTTTTTTTTTACCTTGCATTCTGACAGCGGTGTGGCCATGGTCTTAAAAGACCAAAGTCGAGTCAGCGCTCACCCAAAGTCAGTCAACATGCGGCAGACGTTTTTCGAGAGCAAGTGGGTCGTCTTTTTCAACAAACTGAAGACTAGCAAAGTGAGTGTTCTCCCCTGATTCTCTCCTGTCTCATAGCCAAATTCATTACTCAGTACATGGCTCAGTATGTGGCTCAGTTCATGGCTTAAGCTTCGTATCTCCATGCTGAAGTAGTCAAGATATTTGCCCAACATTCTGAAGGTCTTGGGTCCATTTTGAACTGCATCATCTGGTGTGTAAGTGCAGTTTTTTCCCTTTTTGTTTGTTTGTTTGTTTAACAAACAAAATATTTTTTTGTTGCAGATCCAAGGAATTGTCACAAAAGCTGTGGAATCTCTGCTAGCATTTTGTGGCCAGATATTCTGTGGAGACTGAGTCATCACCTAGAATAAACATCAGTGCAATCATTACACTTTTCTTACCCTTAACCACCTTGAAAATTTCTCATCTCTTTGATGCATCCTTTTCTAGAATCGGCCAACTCTGAGCAAATGCTTGTGGTTGATTACATTGAAATTACTGGTTCTGGTCTGGTAGTCTTAGTTTCAGCTTCATAGCAAATGGGTCACCCCATCTTTGCTCCGCTCCTGTGCCAACAAAAAACTCACAGAATGTTTATCACAGTCCCTTGTGGAAAGCTTGACAGACTGCTGTCTCAGCATATCTAGCATATACTCGCATTAAAGCATACGGTAGCCATCTAAAGTGCTAATACAAACAGTCCGACATTAGAAATTTAGTTCATCATTGATGGTAGCAGAAGTCAACAGATCTGCAGTTGCCCACTCGATCAATTTTAATCACATACGGGCACCACCAAAATTGCGACGTCAGGCATCGCTCCATTTTCTGAATCTACAATTCACACTACCACGTTGGTCACAATCGAAAAAACATTTCAAATTAAATCTGCAGCTCACAGTGTCACGCCATGCATTCAACTCAGAAGCTGGGCGACGAAACTATATCGTCTACAAATGGAACAAAAATGCATCGGCCACTGTCCGGCAGAAGCAAAAAATGTGCCTTGGCTCTAAACAGTGGCCCACCTAGCCTCCATTTTGACTGAGACTGGTTCTAATCTGTTTGATGCTTGTTGTGAGGTTCCAGTAAATTCTTATCTGTTTGATGGCTTGTAAGGTCCTGGTGACTCTTATGTAGATACTTGGGCTCTGGAACCTACACAAGGGCAAGGGATTGTGTACACCTGGCCTCCAAGTTAATGTCCTTGTGCTCATTTTATGATCCTGGGTTGGTGCAAGGTGCTCTGGAAAGAAAGTCCAGGAATCTTAGGCTGACTGTGAATTGTACTGATCATATAACTATCCTGATTTTATTGACTTCACTACAGAGAACTGAGAAAATGTACTTGTTAAATATTGTAAAATACATTTTTGTCTGTCTATCGGACAGCTAATTATTTTCCTCATTGAATTCCATTATTTTGTGTGTTTCTATCCTATGCTATAATTTGTTTGCAGATTTTTTTACATGACAGCACAATGGTGTCACCTTATGCCCTGCTCTTCTTTGGTGGAGATATTAAAATTGTTGTGGTAAGTTTTTGTGGTAAGAGATGTTTTAATTGTGCTAGACGTTTTAAAAAAACCTGGGGCAGAGAAGGCTGTTTCCCTCCAAAGTTGTTTCAAACAAAAATGGAGGTAAAATGATACAGTCATCATCTGATGGTTCTTCCCCACCACTCTCTGGTGTGTTGTCTAGTGTGTTCTTCTTCCTTCTACTTCTGTAAATGTTGATCAAAACTTCTGAATGTGGATCACCTGGCTAGGCAGTTAGAATGCTAGCCTTGCATTCAGGAGACCCAGGTTCAAATCTTTAGTAGCATGATGGGATCTCAGGAGGGGGCAGCGAATACCTAACCCAGACTAGCCATAGGACCCCAAACCCTGAATACCTAACCCAGACTAGCCATAGGACCCTAAACCCTGAATACCTAACCCAGACTAGCCATAGGACCCTAAACCCTGAATACCTAACCCAGACTAGCCATAGGACCCTAAACCCTGAATACCTAACCCAGACTAGCCATAGGACCCTAAACCCTGAATACCTAACCCAGACTAGCCATAGGACCCTAAACCCTGAATACCTAACCCAGACTAGCCATAGGACCCTAAACCCTGAATACCTAACCACATACTGGTGTCTGAGGTGGACATGTCTGAGTGGGATAATGACGACCTACAAGTACACGCAGTCAGAGTGATGGGCCCGGCCCAGTTTGTGATTGTCAATGTGTACGCCTGCAATGGAAAGGTGGATACAGCGAAATGGCAGAGTTTGCTCCAGACTGAGGAAAAGAAAGTCCTTTACTGCGGAGATTTCAACGCCAGAGGAAACCAGTGGGGCAATGTAATCACCAATAAACAGGGGGAAGACCTGGAGGATGCTCTAGTGTCTGCCGATCTAGTATGCTTGAACGACGGAAAGGTTACCCGAATGGCAACCCGACAAGGGGATTCTGACAGCGTAATTGACCTGGCCCTAGTGTCTCCCTCCATTGCACCAGGATGCAGGTGGAGCACACTGGGATACCATGACAGTGATCACTTTCCTTGCGTCGTCTTGGTGGAGAAGAGCAACAACAAAGGTCATGTAATCAATGTGCCTGCTTTTATATATGACCGTACAGGGCAAGATGCCATTAGCAAAATCAGACGACGTAATACAAGAGCAGATCGCAGACGGCGGGAGAGATGGGCCCAGCCACCATGGTGGAATGAAGCAGTCAACATAGCGTGGCTAGAAAAAAGGAACGCTGTCAAGGCATGGCAAAAGGCTAGGAAAATTGATCCGTCACTTTCTGAACGCCTGATCAGTCTGAAAGATGAGGTCAACAAGCGGACAGTGGCTTTCAAGTTAATTGCGAAAGAAGCCAAGACAGCGAAATGGAACGAATTCTGCAAGAGCGTTTGCTCCGAGGGATCTCTTGTGACATTCTGGCGCCTTCAACGGAGCATGCACGGCGCCGCACGACCAAGGGGTATCCCTGATTTTCAGGGTACAGACCTGATATGGCAGAGAACTGATGCTGATAAAGGAAAAACCCTTCTTGCGCGCTACTTGGAGCAAACTGACCAAAAAGACGAAGCTGCAAGAATAGGGGTTAAGATGAAACTGTCGATGCTGTGCGAGAACACTGAGCTAGGCACTGATTTCACAATCACTGCAGACACCTTAAGAACTTGCCTCAAGAAATCGCGCAGCACTGCTCCAGGCCCTGACGGCATCCGATACAATGACATGCTGATGACGTCGAATGCTGATTTGAAAAGCGTGGCAAAGGAATTCAATATCAGCATCCAGAGTGGCCAGATACAAGAGGAATGGCTCCATAGTTATTTGTTTCCACTACCAAAGCCTAATAAAGACCACTCAAAGATCTGCGGCTACAGAATCATCTCGATGCAGAATACTGTTGGCAAACTTTTGGAAAAAATTGTCGCACAAAGATTGACCACCTACTTAGAACTACATGATAAGTTCCCATCAACACTTGGAGGGTACAGATTGAAGAAAGAGACATGGTCCAATGCTGCTGTTTTCGCCTACGATGTGTACGAGGGATTTCAGATTAAAGAAGAGACATGTGCGGCAGTGTTGGACTTAGAAGATGCCTACAATAAAGTACCATATGATTATTTAATGCAATTACTGCTTAAACTAGAAGTCAATCCTATTCTGATCCGCTGGATTGCTGCGGTCCTGTTCCAGAGAAAGATTGCACTAAGATGTGGTAGCTGGTCCTCAGAACCGCAAACGATATGTCCAGGCTTGCCACAGGGATCACCGCTATCACCAGTCTTATTCAACGTTTATACGGTGATGATCACTGAGCAGCAGTTGAATGGAAAGGGGAGGACTTTGTCATTTGCTGATGACATTTTGATTTATCGACGAGGGCGTGATAGACAGGAGATCGCCAGCACTATGCACAAAGAACTCGATCGAATTGCCGCCTGGTGTGGTGGTTCCAATGCCTATGGCGATCTTTCGAAGGCATCAGTGTCATGGTTCTCTTTGAACAATCACATTGTCAAGTCGGACTTACCAGAAGTGAAAATGCGTGATAGTGTATTGATCAGAACCAACGTTATGACGTTTCTCGTGGTGAGGTTCGATCGCAGCTTGTCATTCAGGGAACACGTTGACCATGCGATAACAAAAGCACCCAAAGGTCTATCTGCAATGAGGATTATGGCTGCTTCCAATATCGAGCAAAGACTGCTGGTGCTTCTATTCTACAGTCTGGTCCTTTCCCCCATTGAATACGCTCTGGCCATCCTCACTGTCAGTGCTACCCAGATTGAACGACTCGAGAAGGTGCAAAATGAAGCCATGCGTATTATTTTGGGATGTACAAGAGACACATCCTGTGGAGCAATGAGGTATCTACTTGACTTTCCAACAATGAACCAAAGGATCAGGATGTGGAGGGCTCGGGCATACCTCAAAATATGTGCTGATAAGAAACACCCACTGCATCAAGCACTTTTTAGTGAAAAGGGCGACAGACTGAATAGGGGAAAATCATGGCTAGGTCGGGCAGAAGATGTTATTAGGCAAATATGCAGCCTAACCGACATCATACCTGGTGCAGAATGGATACCTGTGCCTCAGGCGTTTATTTGTACATTTTCCTGTATTGTCACACTCAACAGGCGATGTAGAGAAGAGAATCCTGTTGCTGTTAATGCAGAGGTCAACGCTCTCATCTGTGAAAATTCAGACGAAGCAGATGCACTAATCTATACAGACGGACCCGTTATACGCCAAAGAAGAAGCGCATGGGCATTTACAGCACGCTCAGCGGGCAGAACAGTCAAAGAAGCCAACGGCGCCTTCTCCATGACAACCAGCAGCATGACGATGGAGGTGATGGCAGTGACGCAAGCGTTTGCCTGGCTTGAAACACAAAAATACACCCGCATATGTATACTCAGTGATTCAATGAGTATGATCCGGAGGGTTCAGGCAGGTTCAGTGCGAAGACAATGGCTTGAATCAATTCAGAAGTCCACTGTGCGAGGAGTCACCTTTATTTTTGTTCCGGGACACGCAGGCGTCAATGGAAATGAAAGAGCTGACAGGCTGGCTGGATCCGCTATCACTACCGACGGTCGGCCTATGGATCATGCTGATATTATCAATGCCCTCAGAGAAATGGGAAGGATAGAGGACTTTGGTGGCAGTGAATCCACATCACTCGCCAGAATGGCAGACTTGGGAATTAAGATCGGCACAGCAAAAAACGAGACGCACACCGGACACGTCAGAAGATTTGTTAATCAACATAGAACTGGTACTATTAGCCATCGGACGTTGGGATTCATACTGAGGGGAGGATCTGAGCACCTATGGACATGTCCGGAGTGCAATGATGATAACCCAACTAACTAACTAACTAACTAACCTAACCCAGACTAGCCATAGGACCCCAGACCTTGAATACCTAACCCAGACTAGCCATAGGACCCCAAACCCTGAGGCTACCAATGACCCCCTTCTCCAAGCCTGCCCCTACACCACCTGTCATGAGCTGATAGCCCAGGTGTTTGTGCAGATGTTGTGAGTGTGACACACAAGTGAACACCAGTTATAGGACTCAGAGGGTTGACGGTAGGCGAAGGAACTTTGGCATAGCATGGGGGATTCCTGGACAATTAACTGACCTTCGGGGAATGTCTTGGAACTCTTCGCTTACTGCTGAAGATAGGGACTGAGCACTTATGGGAGTGTCCTGAGTACTTTGATGTCGATTCTTAATTCAACATTTAACAATTGAGGAAGGACAGAACCCCAGGCTGGGTGTGGAATTAGCACATATGGCTGAAGAATGTTGGAGAGTTTTGTTTAGATATGACAGCACTTCTGTCTGTGGGCAATGCCCCTTGTGTTGGTTTTGACAGTGGTATCAGGGGGCCAACCGTCCAGAAAGCAATGGCAAACTAATGGACGTAAATTTGCCTAGAGAAACCACACAACAGCCAAGGGCTGCTGGGGTTGGTTCTGCAACGTCCTGTTAAGGATACACAACTAACCTATTTTAGCAAAGTGGAATGGAGGAGTTCTTAATGTTTATTACAGTTGCCTAGTGAATAATATAGTTGCTACAATGGCCATATGTAAAATAAAAAGGGAAGTAAAGGACCTTTTTCTACATCCTTTAGGTATATTGGGCATTTGGCCCTAGACTATTTATAGACCAATCGCACTTGGTGGGTGATATGGTCAACATCATGCTGGACACCTTTTCTTCCCAGGCCTCTGCCTAGTACACATTTAGGGCTGGAAAAGTATTTAAAACTCCTTTCGGGTTTGAGTCAGGTGTATTGGTGGTTTACCTGTCGTAGGAGTTCAAGAACAGAGGCATTGTGTGCACCGTTTATGCCTAGACTTGTACCCTTTATGGTTGGTATTGAGATTATAGGTTTGAATAATTCCATGATGCTGTCCTAAAAAAGGGATATAGCAAGGGCCTTTGTTTAAAATGCTTTGAATTTATTTTTGTTGCAATTTCAGTGACTCAAGGGTTCCCAGACAATTGTTATTTATGTGTATCTTATATGAACTTTTTCAGTCCCAAGGAACGCATCATACGTTTATAGGCTCCTACATAGAAGCCCAGTGAATGCCATTGAACACCTCACAACTACCCTTTGGGCCTCTGATGCTAAACCCCCTGAGACTGAAAGGGTTGAGCAGAATATTTTTGTTAAAATATTAGCATTTATAGTTTTGTGTTTTTTAAATTGGAGCGGCTGGTGGCCAAATGGTTAGAATGCTGGGCTGTCAAGTGGGAGACCCAGGTTCGAATCCTTGGTAAGGCTGGGGATTTTTTTCTGTCGGGGGCAAAATAAAATCCTTACCTGATACTCGTGGCGACAGCACTAGCCATGCGGCCGTAAATCCTCGGGCTCAAAGACCCCCCCTGCCTACACCACAAAAGTTGTATAATAAAGGCGGTAATTGGCAGTTTTTAGATTTTTGTCTCATGTTGTCTTTTTTTTTTTTTTTTTTAACAGGAAGACAATACTGAACTTGTTTCTGTTGATGACTGGGTCACGTTCAAAGCGTCAGCAACCACAGCACAGCTTGTCAGAGTGAGAAGCTACCGTAGATTTTCTTGTGTCTTCACTGTTGCTCAGTAAACTTTTTTGTTAAGATGTAGTGTGAATTTGAGTAGTCACAAGGTTATTATTGTCTGCATCAGGCATGACATCACAACAGCTTGGTCTGAAAATCCTTAAAAGAAACACAAAGATAATGAGAATAAATCGGGCAAATAGTCATGTGGTTTATTTTAATGGTATCCCACTCCAAGATGTGGAGTCCTTCTTTTACTTGGGCAGTAATGTAGATAAAGTAATGTAGATAAAGTAATGTAGATAAAGTAATGTAGATAAAGTAATGTAGATAAAGTAATGTAGATAAAGTAATGTAGATAAAGTAATGTAGATAAAGTAATGTAGATAAAGTAATGTAGATAAAGTAATGTAGATAAAGTAATGTAGATAAAGTAATGTAGATAAAGTAATGTAGATAAAGTAATGTAGATAAAGTACTGTAGATAAAGTAATGTAGATAAAGTAATGTAGATAAAGTAATGTAGATAAAGTAATGTAGATAAAGTAATGTAGACAAAGTAATGTAGATAAAGTAATGTAGATAAAGATGGGGCAACTGATAGAGATATTAAAATACACATACAAAAGGCAAGAGGAGGTTTCATAGCACTAGGGAATTTGTGGAGGTCAAAAGAAATTTTAAAAAATACTTGAAATTTTTAATTCTGATGTCAAATCAATACTGTTGTATGGAGCTGAAACATGGAGAACAGCTAAGGCAAATACTAGAAAACTACAAAATTCATTAACTGGTGCCTGCGCAGAATAGAGGGAACTAAATGGTATGATAGAATCACTAATGTAGTGCTTTTGAGAGGTGAAGAAAAGACGGATAGGCATTGGATAGGACACACGTTGAGAAAACCGGAGAACAGTATAACCAGAATGTCTTTGCACTGGAACCCACAGGGAGCATAGGAATAAAGGAAGACATAAAACACATTGAGAAGGGAGCTAGAGAGAAGTTATGAAGATGGGTAGAGCTGCATGCGATAGCCAAAGATAGAATGACTTAGCGTGAGATGGTTGAGGGCCTAGCTCCATTTGGGGGGAGGGGGGGGGTAAAAAGGCAGAAGAAGAAGAAGAAGCAGGCACAACACTTGTCATGTTCTGAGGTCATAGAAACAAACACACACACACACACAAAAAAAAAAGCGGTCACTACAGTTGCTATCATCTGATTCTTTGCTTCAGAAAAACTACTTTCTTTGCACACAGCTGTAAATACTCTTTTATATGGGTAGCTTTAAAAAAAAAAAAATTTCCACATTTTTATCTGGGCAGACTTCTGTTTTCTATTTCAAACTGCCAAGGAATTGTCAATATGTACAACATGTATGCAGGACCTCATAGTTTAATTTGCTGTTATCTGAAAGAGCTAGATGTCCAGTCCCTATCCCAGTTGGGGAAAGGGGGGGGGGGGGGGGGAGAGGGTTATGTTATACAATTTATCCTTTGTCTTATTTTTGTAAAAATCCAAATGAACAATGCAGGACTTGGGTACTTTTTTTTATTTTTTTTTTAACGTTCACCAGCTGTAAACTCTGGCGGAAGGTTCTGGTTGCTCGTCCACTACTGAACTGCAGTCCTGCTCCAGAACCTGAGTGTTGCGTGTGCATCAGTTTTACAGATCTCATTCTCTTGAATACAGACTGTTGGTTCCTTGCCTCTCCGGCAGATGCACTCCGACTTCAAAGGAAGCTCCCCAATTAGTCGACTCTTACGACATGCCTTTGGGGAGGCAGTGGGTCTATTCTTGTTTTCCCAACAATGGGGCCCCGGAACCCACACGGGGGACTTGGGTACTGATTATATGCCTTGCCATCACCATGGGAAATTCTGTGACTGTCCTATCTCTCGTTGCCATCTAAAATTCTGTGACTGCCTTGTCTCTGATCACCATAGAAAATTCTGTGACTGTCTTGTCTCTGATCACCATGGGAAATTCTGTGACTTGTTTTGTCTCTGATCACCATGGGAAGTTTTGTGACTGTCTTGTCTCTGATCACCATAGAAAATTCTGTGACTGTCTTGCCTCTGATCACCATAGAAAATTCTGTGACTGTCTTGTCTCTGATCACCATGGGAAATTCTGTGACTGCCTTGTCTCTGATCACTATGGAAAATTCTGTGACTGTCTTGTCTCTGATCACCATGGGAAGTTTTGTGACTGTCTTGTCTCTGATCACCATGGGATATTCTATGACTGTCTTGTCTCTGATCACCATGGGAAATTCTGTGACTGTCTTGTCTCTGATCACCATGGGATATTCTATGACTGTCATCTCTATGGGAAATTCTGTGTTGGTTTTGCAGTGATGCACATACAGGCTTTGAATCCTTGGCAGTTTTGTCAAAATATGGTCGCTCCTGTATAGGATGTCCAACCTGGCGGTGAGAGAAGTCCTTATTATATAACCAGGTCCTGGTACTTGAGAGCCTCTGTGACTTCTGTAAGATGAGCTCTCCTCTTTGGTACTCTTCAGCTGAAATCCAGGTTGATTGGTGATGGTTGCTGTTTTTTTCAGTCTTGGACAACAAATTCACTGGGCATGCTGAGAAAGTTGAAGACAGGCATGCTCTATAAAGAGTGTCAAGAAAAGATATAAAACTGAATGAAAAGTATATTAGCAAGCTTTACAATATAACAAATACAAACAAAACTTGAACGTTGCGGCTATTGAACCTTTATCAGCACATACACAAATCTAACAATACCACACAAATACCCAAAATCACTTAGCTGGTATCTCAAAGCAGCCAGGTCGATGACTTCTCAGCAGACTACCGACATGCGTGGGCCAGGGGAATAAATACCCCCTGTGGAGTACCAGGGGCAATAACTAGGGGGTTGAGAAAAAACTGTGTGGGCAGTTCAATCCCCTAGGAGTTTAAATGAAACTGTTGGCAATTTAGTTTGGAGGGTGTTAAAGTACGTAATGTGTAAAATAAAGTGATTTTCTAGAGACTTAAGGACTCTGTGGCTGGAGTAGCTAGATTTAATGGCTGTCATATCCATGTTGAGGACACCTTGGTGATCCTGGGAATTAAAGTGCAACAGTACTGGTTTCAAAGCACCATTTTGCACATCCAAAAGATGTCTGAACCTGTCGGCCAGCCAGATACCTGTTTCACCAATGTATTTCATGTCAAATCTCTTGCAGTTGATGGCATAAATGACATTGCGGCTGGTCCAATAGAATGCTTCACGTGTGTGGAAGGTGGCGTTTAGGAATTCTAGACTAGTCCCCTGGACCACATATGGGCATGTCCTGCATACAGGTCTGTGGCAAGAGACTATGCCGAAGTGGGACTCAGACACGGGACGTAACCGACACTTGACTAGAATGTCCTTGAGGTTACAGTCATGCCTGTAGGCCACTAGAAGAGGTTCAGAGAAAATCGTGCTGGTGGCAGGGTCGGCTTTAAGGATGGAGAGAGATGCTTGAGGAAAATATTTTTGGCACGGATGTTGTAAGGGTGGTAGGTAAGTGTGAGGATAGGTCTGTTGTGGTGACATTTAGGCTTTGAAGCGAGAGCCTCGCACGATGGATAGACCGTGCTTGGTGAAGGGCGGCAGATAAGACATGTTCAGGATACCCTCGAAGACAAATCAAGGGTCAGTGGCTATAACAGAACTGACTCTCTGATCTAGAAAGAACCGCAAAGGCTGGAGGCCATCCGAATGTGGAATAGAGGTGTAGAGGGAGGTAACATCTAAGGTGAAGATGTGGTACCTGGACGAAGAGGTGAACCGGATAGTTTGAACGACAGAGATAGCATGGTTAGTATCTTTGATGTAAGACAGGAGACCAACGACCAGGGCTGCAAAATACGGTTGAGATACTCTGTAGAGAGTGGCAAGCATCACTTCAAAGGTCCCATGGTAGTTAGCTCCATTGGAATAGTTTCTTCATGGTATTTAGGTATGTTTTGAAATGAACAGACAGAAAGTCTGGCTGGTACTGCACCACTTTGTCACAAATTGATGATGACAGGCTGGACATGGTCAATAGAGCAAGTGAACATTGTGGAACTGCAAACAGATCATCACAGACTGAAGGGAAAGGGTGTGACCAGGGAAAAGGACAGATCCTCTATACTCAGAGGGAAGGTAGGATAGAAATATAATCAGACGGCTATGGCTATTGATATCATCAGAATTTGAACTCTTCCCTGGCTGTTCAAGATAGGGATGCAGGACTTATGGGAATGTCTTGAACGATGCGAAATCAGTTTGTATCTCGACTCAGCTCAGCTCAACTCAGTCTTTGGTTATTCAGCTGAATTCATAAAGCCCAGGTTGTGTGACAGTTCTGTTCCCAGAATTTCTTGACCTGTTCAGCTGAAGCCCAGTTTGTGTGACAGATCAACATGATGACACAAGGGTAGCAACTCATAAGTGCTTCATTCTACCTCTGACTCAAGCATGAGTCTGAAGAATCTCAGCGAAGTATACGAATTCCATAGCACCGACGAGGATCCTGAAAAACTTTTAGTAGATTTTTGACTCAAAATTTTGCCAGGGCAGCGCCGTTAGGCTACTCTTTTTTAATTTTCAAGTGTTAATGGATTTTTTTACATGCGCAGCAATACACACGGGCATCCCATCGTACTACCCAGAGGCCAGGGGAAAATTACTTGAAGTCCACATTTAAAAAATCCCAGCCTTCACCGGAGCTTGAACCTCGACCTCAGCACTCGAGGCGGACGCTATGTGTGACAGTTTTGTTACCAGAATTTCTTGACCTGTTCAGTATTATGTTCAGGTAGTGTGACAGTTTTGTTACCAAAATTTCTTGACCTGTTCAGTATGATGTTCAGGTAGTGGGACAGTTTTGTTACCAAAATTTCTTGACCTGTTCAGTATGATGTTCAGGTAGTGTGACAGTTTTGTTACCAGAATTTCTTGACCTGTTCAGTATGATGTTCAGGTAGTGTGACAGTTTTGTTACCAGAATTTCTTGACCTGTTCAGAATGATGTTCAGGTAGTGTGACAGTTTTGTTACCAGAATTTCTTGACCTGTTCAGTATGATGTTCAGGTAGTGTGACAGTTTTGTTACCAGAAATTCTTGACCTGTTCAGCTGAAGTTAAAATTATTGGATGATGGTTGCTCTTGTTTCAGGACTTGCGGAAGCAGCTGGACAAACTTCTCACCACAAAAATCACCCATCCTGGGCCAACAAAATGGGACAGAAGACAGCCTGAGGGTGCTCTACTGGCTGCCATTGCTGACCTCATCACTCAGGAGGACCTCAGCTACTCTATCAGGGAATCTGACCTTGAAGGCAGCATTGGCCACAAGTGCTGAGTCTGCTGGTGTGTGTATCATGCTGGTGTGTGTATTATGCTAATGTGTGTACCAAGCTGGTGTGTGAATCATGCTAGTGTGTGTATCATGCGGGTGTTTATATCATGCTGGCATGTGTATCATACTGGCATGTGTATCATGGTAGTGTATTATGCTTGTATGTTTATCAGGCTGGTGTGTGTGTATCATGCTAGCATGTGTATCATGGTGGTGTGTGTATCATGGTGGTGTGTGTATCATGCTGGGATGTCTGTCATGCTGGCATGTGTATCATGCTGGTGTGTATATCATGCTGACATGTGTATCGTGCTGGTGTGTGTATTATGCTGGCATGTTTATCATGCTTGTGTGTTTTATCATGCTGGTATGTCTATAATGCTGGCATATGCATCATGCTTGTGTGTATCATACTGGAATGTTAATCATGCTGGTGTGTGTATCCTGCTGGCATGTGTAACATGCTTGTGTGTATTATGCTGGTGAGTGTATTATGCTGGTGTGTGTATCATGCTGGTACGTGTATCATTCTGGTGTGTGTATTTATGCTGCTGTGTATATCATGCTGGCATGTGTATCATGGTGGTGTGTGTATCATGCTAGTGTGTGTATTATGCTTGTATGTTTATCAGGCTGGTGTGTGTGTATCATGCTAGCATGTGTATCATGGTGGTGTGTGTATCATGCTGGGATGTCAGTCATGCTGGCATGTGTATCATGCTGGTGTGTAAATCATGCTGACATGTGTATCATGCTGACATGTTTATCGTGCTGGCGTGTGTATTATGCTGACATGTTTATCATGCTAGTGTGTGTATCATGCTGGTATGTCTATAATGCTGGCATATGTATCATGCTTGTGTGTATCATGCTGGAATGTAAATCATGCTGGTGTGTTTTTCATGCTGGTGGGTGTATCATGCTGGCATGTGTATCATGCTTGTGTGTATTATGCTGATGAGTGTATTATGCTGGTGTGTGTATTATGCTGGTATGTGTATCATGCTGGTGTGCGTATCATGCTGGTATGTGTATCATACTGGTGTGTGTATCATGCTGGTGGGTGTATCATGTTGGCATGTATATCATACTGGTGTGTGTATCATGCTGGTATATGTATCATGCTGGTATGTGTATCATGCTAGTGAGTGTATCATGCTAGTGTGTATCATGCTAGTGTGTATTGTGCTGGTGAGTGTATCATGCTGGTGTGTGTATCATGCTCTGGTGTATGCATTGTGCTGATGAATGTATCATGCTGGGGAGTGTATCATTCCGGTGAGTGTATCATGTTAATGTGTGTATCATGCTGGTGCGTGTATCATGTTGGTGAGTGTTTCATGAGGGTATGTGTATCATGCTGGTGAGCTTATCATGCTGGTGAGTGTATCATGCTGATGTGTATATTATGCTGGTGTATGTCTGAAGCTGGTTATGTCCATTTCCTTAATTGCTTATTGACATGATGTTAATGCAACACTGGTGTCTGTTTTTCCTAATGACAGAATTATTTATTGTCAGAGTGACAATTTGTTGATATTAGCAATTGTTTCCAGTTGGGACTTAAATCATAAAGACACAAAGAAGTGCCATGTGACTGTGATTTGTGTATTTCAATGGAAAGCTTTCAGTCATTGTGTTTCATTACGTTTGTGTGTCAGTTCTGTAGTGAAATATGCCAGGCACTGAATTGTGCAATCTATTGTTGATTGTTGAATTAAGAATCAACATCACGGCACTCAGGATTCTCCCATAAGTGCTCTGACTCCCATCTTAAGATAGTACTAGTAATTGTCTCAATGTAAAAACCCCTCTGACCTTTCTCTTGAGTGTTGAGTGTCTGCCAGATCCCCTGGTAACTCCTCTCAATGCCATTCACCTTTGACTTTAATGATCTGTTTGTACCTCGGCACTGTTCACTCGCTCCCAAAGGGCCCTCACAACATCTAGCTTGTCATACATCAATTCACCACCAAGTGGTGCAGAACCGGCCAGTCTACCTGCCTGTTCATTTCCCAACATTCTTTTGTTTGTGGCCTCATGTATTTAAATATCAGGGGCTGATTCATTTGTTCTCTTCAGGATGTCCTATTTGTACATCAGTGGGGGGGGGGGGGGGGGGGGGGGGAGCTTTGTCAGAATGACACACTTGTTTTAGGTTTTTTTTTTTCGTTTTGTATGGTTAGTTTTTTTTTATCATCATCAAAATGAATAGTTGTAGATAATGCTGGCAGTAAATAAATGACACATTTTGTTCATTAGTATCTTTGTTGTTTTTTTTCAAGAAAAATAAATGTTTATTTAATAGTCTCACTTGCCGGCACACTGTGCCAGAATTATTATCACTAGTCGTTGTTGGTTTTTATATAGCTGTATGCATGGTACTGCAGGTTTTTGTATAGTTGTATGTTATACCATATGCTTTTGTTTAGTTATATGTGTAGTACTATGGGTTTTTATATAGTTGTATGTGTGGTACTATGGGTTTTATATAGTTGTATGTGTGATAGTATGTGTTTTTATATAGTTGTATGTGTGATACTGTAGGTTTTTATATAGCTGTATGCATGGTACTGTAGTTTTTTTTATAGTTGTATTTTTAATACTGTAGGTGTTGATATAATTGTATGTTTGGTACTGTAGATTTTTAAATAGGTGTATGTGTCATACTGTGGGTTTTTATAAAGTTGTATGTGTGATACTGTAGGTTTTTATATAGTTGTATGTGTGGTACTATGGGTTTTTATATAATTGTATGAGTGATGCTGTAGGTTTTTATATAGTTGTGTGTGTTGTACTTTAGTTTTTAAAATAGCTGTATGCATGACATTACCCACTCAAGGCTGCGAGTCAAGGTTATTCAGTTGATGGGGCATTCTTGAAGATCATCATCACTGGAGAAACGCTCATGGCAGGTGGCCAACTGCTACATGGAGATGGACCAGGCCATATGAGATATGGTAGCGATGTCTGTCTGTTAGCTTCTAACATTTCAGACACAACTAGATGATGATGTTTAAGAGGAAAACAAAGAAAACAGATTGGTTATTACTATCTTCTTTATCTTGCAATATTTCTCACCAAATAAGTCATTACGCTCGCACACTAGTTAAATAATATCTTACTGAGAATGAAGTCCCATAACTTTACTGATGATGATACATGAAATGGTTTAATTATTTCTGCTTTGTGTGGCCATATTGTCAATTGCTCCTGGAATGGGGTGAAAGGTACTGCAAATGCCTTCAGTGATGTCATTTGACTGACAGGCTGGTTCCTTTTTCTGCCCTACTGATCAACAGCAGGGGAAGCTGTTCCAGTGCCGGCCAAGAGTGGCGTCATGAGACATCTTGTCTCTTTAATGCCATCCCCCATATAATGTCTTGCTGTGTTGAGAGCCACTTGATTTTTTTTTTTTTTGACCACACCCCAGTGTTGCTTTCCCTAAACTGCCTTTCTCTGATATTGCTTGAGGAAACCATATTTTATTACCTGAATGTCTATACTTGAGGCATGGCGTCTGACAATCTCATTGACATCTTCACTTGAAATGTTTCTTTGACCCAAACTATTCTGTCAGATAATAGCACTTTGTTTCGTTTATTCAGTCTGGAGAAAACAAATTCCCACTTCATAAGATGTGTCACAAGAGTCAGACACCAGACTTATTCCTGCAACATGTCTAAGTCACTTCATAAGATGTGTCACAAGAGTCAGACACCAGACTTATTCCTGCAACATGTCTAAGTCACTGAATTTAAAAAATTTGTTTCCAGTATCTCCATGTTTACCCTGTGTGTGTTTATTCTGAACATATTTGAAATATGTAAGGTGGCATTCGTTGTCAGTTTGAGATGTAGAGTTTTTATCATCTGCAGACTCGTCCAGTGCCAACTTCTACTGAATGTACTTTAGTCGACACATTCTTCTCTTGTTTTACACAAAGTACTTTCGTTGAGTCACCTCAGTACTTAAGTCGAGTCATTCTATTGTCATTATCCTGACATTCTTTAATCGACTCAGCCTTCTTCCCATTTGCCCCAAAACTGACGAACAGACCCTCATCCTGTGTTCTGGATTATTCTGCTGGCTTGCCAGTGTTCATGAAGAATGTAAGTGTTGCCACCAAGATGGCCAGATAATTTTTGCAGGAGCTTCTGATGTACTTACTAACTGGTAGTGTAATAAATTATCTTTAATATTTTCTGAACCTAAGTTCCCTTGTAACTTTCTACCCTGCATGAATGCAAGCATTTGGTGGAATTGTAAGATCTATTACTGAGTGTATTTGGATAGTCAGCCATTTGGCAGATCCTTCGTTCTGTGGATTCTCGTTGACCTTCAGTTCATCTGGTCGAACTGAGAACTCGGCGTTTACATTGTTTGTACTCTTGTTACACCCTGAAAGGACTGCTAGGCTGTAAGGGGGTCGATTGTCAGTGCCGTCAACGGCCAGCTGCCTGCTGGGCGGGGAGTATATGTGTCTGTGGGTTGCGATTCTATTCACACTTGTTGTGCAATCATGAGGAATACTACTTTTCATTAACACATTTGGGTGATTCAGTTCTTTAGAACTGCAACCATTTTCTTTATATGTGCAGTGGAACACCAGGTTTTCTATGTCTTTTTTCAGAAAGTTTTTATTCATTAAAGGGTTTAGATGGTTCATTTCTGTGGATCTGCAGCCCGGTTCCATAGAAGTGCAGCGGAACGCCAGGTTTTCTGTATCTTTCTTTGAAAAATGTTTATTCAGTAAAGGATTTGGGTGGTTCGTTTCTCTGGATGTGCAACCAGGTTCCCTGGAAGTGCAGTGGAACGCCAGGATCCCTGTATCTTTCTTGGGAAAGTTCATGGCTGTGTGATTCATTTCTCTGGATGTGCAACCAGGCTCCATGGAAGTGCAGTGGAACTCCAGGTTTCCTGTGTCTTTCTTGGGAAAGTTCATGGCTGTGTGGTTCATTTCTGCAGATCTGCAGCTTGGTTTCATGGAAGTGCAATGGAACGTCAGATTCTGTGTGTCTTTTTTGGGAAAGTTCTCACTGAGTATCATGGTTGTGTGGTTCATTTCTCTAGATCTGCAACCAGGTTTTGTGGAAGGGCAGCAGAAATCTAGGCGCCCTGTGCCTTTATTTGCAAGATTATCACTAAGTATTTTGGTTATATCATTCAGTTTTTGAGAGCTACAGCTTGGTTCCATGGAAGTACAGTGACATGATAGGTGCCCATTGCTTTCCTTGATTAGGTTGTCATTTAGTAACATTGTCATATGGTTCTTTTCTGCAAGTCTGCAACAATGTTGCATTGAAATGCAGCTGAACGCTGTGTGTCCTGTCCCTTCCATTGGAGGATTGACATTCAGTAGCCTGTTTGCTTGGTTCAGTTCTCCAGATTTGCAGCTCGACTTGTAGCCAAGCGCTGGGTGTCCTGTCCAGTTTTTACTGTCCTTGGTTGCAGAAACTGGGCCTTCCATGGAGCTGAGATTGGTCTGCGGTGAAACAAACACCTGATTTTGATCAGACTCTGCCCAGTTCATGTTGATGTTCCTCATCTTGCGGTACCAGAAAGCATTGAGATCCAGTTTTCCTGTTCTGAAGTAACTGCTGCTACTACCACCTCCTGCATACGTCCGCAGTAACTCATCTTCCTTCCTGGCAGCAGAAGATCCACGTGACTGTACCGACCAGTGATCAGAGCCTCTCATCTCCTGACGGAGGAAGGCAGATTTGAAAGGGCACCTGTTTTCCAAATAGGATAAAAAGTCCTCATAGCCGTCTGGCGAATCGCCCCTGGGCTCGTCTGTCTGACAGTCAGTGTCCTTGAAATGTCGAGTGCAACAAAATTGTTCTCGCTGATGAATTCGATCCTGTCTGCTGCTGGCAGCAGAAACTTCTGCGTGCCGCGAATACCGAACTGAGGGCAAGTGCTGTGACGATGTCAGATGT